CCCACCACCACCGTCGGCCCAACTTCCTTTCTCCCCACCCACAGTCAAGCTCCCCTCCCCCTCCCCCTCCCTAACTGAATCCTCCTCCTTTTCCACCCAACTGAGCCCATCCCCACTACCGAGGTTGGCGGCCACCCCCACCCTAGCCGCCAGCCACCTTTGAACTTTCACCTTCCCTTTTCTTTCCTTGTTTCCTAATTTAGATTGAATGAAATTAGGAATAAATTTTGAATTCAAATCCAAGTGATTTGGAATTCAAAATCTTTCCTAAAATACAAAATCTATTTTAGGAAAGTTTTAAACCTCATCCTCAAATCAATATTTGATTAAAGGGGGTTTATTTTCTCTTCCTTAATTTAAGTTCCCAAATTTATGCAAGCTTTAAACACTTGCCATAAAACCTCCTCCCTCCCATTATTGCCGCCGGCCCCTATTAAATCCCTCCTTGGATTTATTTCTTAAAACCAAACCCCACTCTTGGAAATAATTCAAAACCCCTAATCCCCTCTTGGTCGAAAATTACTAAAGCCCCACCTCATGACTACTTTCCAAAATCCCATCCTTGATTTTGGAAATAAATCCCAAACCCTTCCTCTCTTACCCGCACCCCCCCCCCTTCTCCTTTTCTCTCTTCTTTAATTAGTCTCAATCAAGAGAAAGAGACTAATTAGGAAGTGTTGAATTAAGAATTCCCTCCATCTTCTCTCCCAAAATCTGAGCCAAAACCCTTAACCTTGCTCTCATCCTTGGTCGACCACCTCTTTTCCCTTTCACCTCTTGATTTCTCTAGCTTACTTCATCTCAAGAGGGGTCTTCAAGGGAAGCCTCAACAATCGTCGCCAACATCTCAACCTCAAAGGACATGCATGGCCGATCCGGATCTTGATTACAGTCTAGCCTACGACGAACAAGGATTTGTTTGCATCCTTCATTCGACCTTTTTCGACGTTAATCCGCGCATCGACAACACCGTCGAAGAGTACGTAGAGCGCATCATGGACACCCTTGTCGAGGCCATTGAAGTACAACTGGGCACCGTTCAGTGGAGGATCGAAACTCAACCGTGATAAGGGTTTACCAATCTTCCTTTTTTTTGTATTTTCCTTCTCTAACTTTTTCTTGTGATTTGATAGATTCATGAATATCTTGCTCACTAAACGCTGCCAAACTTAGTAAACGTAGAGATTGAGTGCACTTTATTTGCTTCTAATCTTAATGTTAGATTAGGGATTTTTGTTGAAAGCTATTCCATTTGCAAGTTGTTGATTCTCTTTTGTTTTGATAATTCAAGCGCTTATTGTGCAACTTAGCCTAAACGAAAGTGACCGCTCTTATGTTTTAATTGATTGTTTTAATTTTCTAATAGTCCTCATCATAATTATTTTTATCAAGAGATTGTGCAAGTTCTTAACATTTCACTTTAAGCATTGTAGTCCTACATCATATGTTCTACACGATGGCAATTCAAGCAGCTTTGGGGATTGCAAAGGCGGCCGTGATAGAGCTTGATGAGAAAGAGGGAAGGTGGAGGTTGTGTGGTGGATCGTGACGGCCCTCCAAGGGGCAGGGCTAAGGGTAGATGATGTGGTTATGGTGGTAATATTCTTAGCCTTAGAAGTTAGAAGACTTCACATTTTTACAAGACTTCACATTTATAAGCAAACTTAACCTCATCGTCCAACAGCAGTGACGATGACAAACTTGGCTTCTTCTTTTCAGAAAATCATAGAAGAATTCTCCCCAATACTGATAAGAAATAGTTTTCAGCCAGTCGATAGCCTGGCAGTTGAGATAAGTTTTGATCTTTTGTTAATAATAAATGCATAAGCATGTCAAACATGTTTTATTTCATGTTAGAACATAAAAAAAAAAAAACAAAATAAAACTGTCCCAAACTACCCCTGATCTAACATTAGACTCTGATTTCCTAACCCAAATTATGACTAGTAGTGATTATCCTAATGTTTATACTATGTATGCATTCAAAATTACAATAATAAACAATTAAAGAATCCACTCATACTCTTTCACTATGTTATTGACAGGGAGCGGATGCACTTTTCACAAAAATCAGCCGATGAAATACAAAAAATTGGGAAGAAAAACACCCCAAAACAATTTTTATTGAAAGAACAATAAAGAAAAATGCAAGATACAATTGGATCTTCAATTTGAGAGGAAGATCCGGCTCTCCCAAATCCCTAGCCGCCGGCTAGAGCCCAAATAAAACATAATATGAAATCACTATATTGTTAGCTTTAAATAGGCTCCCCTAATTCCCTCTCAAATCAGCCCCCTTTTCCTAAATAATTTCCTCTCATATTTGAAGTCAAATTAGATCTCTTGACCTAAATAATTTCCTCCCAATTGTAATTAAAACTTTCCTAAACAATTCCCCATTGATTCCTCCTCCCTTTCCCTAAATAATTCCCTCCCAATTGTAATTAAAAAATTTCCTAATCCTCTTTGATTAAGATCCTTCCTAAATAGTTTCCTCCTGATTAGGAAACTTCCTATCTCCCTCCCAATCAAATCTACCAATCCACCAGTTATGTCCAAAACACAATTGAATGTAAGAGGTCAACAATGAATTTATGAGTTATAAAAATATAGCATATATTACAATACTTTTATAGACACTCAACAACAACAACAACAATAACAACAAAAACAAGCCTTTATCCCACTACATGGGGTTTAACAAACACTCATTAAAAATAAATACAATAAAGTGGGACAGCATAGAGCTAATAATTTAGCAAGAAATCACCATCTTACAACTTAAAGGTTAAAATTCAAAGACATTTATAACTATGCTTAAGCAATCAACTTCAAAAGTTTGGCTTTTAGAAATAAAAATAATCAAAATTTAAGAAAATTTAAAAATAATAGGTCTGAATAGCAAAAGTCACACCTTACATGTTTTCTAACTACAAAAGAGATCCAGATATAAATAATCTAACAACTTTGTCCCGAATGATGCTTATCATCCTCCTACTCCAGCAGTTTATTTAGTCTATGCTACTGTTGCCCGGGGTCTTCAATGCGCTCTAGCATTAGCCAGAGGGCTTTATGCCTTTTTCTCCTCCAGCGCCACACTTCTCTGAGCTTTTCTCCTGCTTTAATATCCACAAGGCTCTTCCCACGAGCTATTCATATCTAATTCTTTCCCTATATCCAATGACTTTTTCCATCTCAAACTCGGCAAGATTTCAGCAATTTTAGAAAAATAACGACAAGAAAATCATGAATAAAACACACAAACACTTTCTTATTGAAAGTTTTATGAAAGAAAAGACAAGATACAAGTGGATCTTCAACTAGAGAGGAAGAACCGGCTCTCCCAAATCTCTAGCCGCCGGCTAGAGCCCAAACACCCTAAGAACAATCTAATGTCAGCAAACAACACCTATCCCTAACCCTAGGAAAATCATCTCTTTAAAGAAAACAATAAACAGTAAATACCCAAACAGACCTCCCCCAATTCCCTCATATTTCCTTAATTATTTCCCTCCCAAAACAGCTCTCAAATCAGCCCCTAAATCTGTCATCTTCAATTAGAAAATATTTTCTAATTAATCCCCTCCAAATCAACCCTATTCAATTAGGAAATATTTTCAAATTAATTCCCTCCAAATCAGCCCCAAAATCACCCCACAAATCTGTCCTCTTCAATAGAAAATATTTCCTAATTAATTAGCCCCCAAATCTGCTCTCTTCAATTAGTAAATATCTCCTAATTAATTCTCTTTGATTAAGAACCTTCCTAAACAGCTCCCTCTTAATTATGAAACTTCTTAATTCCCTCGCAATCAAATCAGCTAATCCATCAAAATGCAACGTAAGATGACAATTTCACCAAAGCAACATCAAACATGATTATGTAGTCAAAACCAAATTTCAAGTTCATAACAATGAGCGAATCACCTAATACATCATACAATTGGGGCACCCCCTTGAGGAAAAGAATAAAAAAAAGAAAACGATAAGCATTCACAAGAAAATGAAAAGGCAAAAGAAAAAATATGCTGATCAATACAAGTAAACATCCAGATATAATGTTAGTCAAACTTGCATTATCAAGAAAAGTAGGCCTGCAAAATAATTCATTCCCTTGGCATACAAAAAAAGAAAATATTACAAAAGATTCTTTAATTGGGATGGTAATGTTATAACCTTTCAAAAGGCCAGAAGCACAATACAAGCATCACAGCAAGAAGGCACTGCCAAGAACATCATCATTCAAGCATTGTAAAAAAGGTATGTATCACAGCATAACTTTACAATTTGCAAGAAACTAAGCCTGACATGTTGGGACCTTTATGCTGAAACACCAGAAACCTATTTAAAAAGAAGCCCGCCATTCTTCCTTGTCTCACTCAGCATCATACTCATAGCTACACTTAAAAGCATAAAGACTGCATAACTATGTTATGGTGCATAAAATAAAGCCCAAACATGAAGAATAGAAACACTTTACGAGAAAAAATTTCATAGTACAAACAAATTTCATCATATCAGAAAGAAAGTTTCTTAGAAAGACAAGTTTCTAAAGCTCGCATATGGAGCACGCTGCAGCATAAACCTGGTGCAAATGACAATGACATTGATGTCAAAATACTTATACTGCAAAATCAAGCGGGTAGATTTGATGTCGATCATTGGAAATCAGAAGAATGTAACCAATTACTCATACAACTAGTTCTAACGTACGTTGAGTAACAAATATTTTTCAAAAATAGATTCATTGCATATGAAATAATTTGGAACAGGATGGGTTTTACACCCATTGGATTTATTTTTGGATGAGTGCAATACAAACTTTGATTGATTAGTCATATATTGCATTAATCTCAAAGTAAATTTAATGGGTATAAAAATCTATCCATACCTTATTTTGATAAGGATATCCTGATCCAAAATTTCTCCATTGAAAGCGATGCATATCTACAAAAATAATCAATCTTCAGAAATTTGAAAGTAAAACATGGCCTACTTACGGAGCCATCCACCGGTAAGTCCCAGTCTCTGGTGTCATCCCTTCTGTTTGCACTTCAATCCGAGCCACTCCAAAGTCTGCAATTTTGATAGACTTATCGCCGCAGATGAGAAGATTGTCAGATTTCAAGTCCCTATGGATGAAACCCAAATCATGAACATATGCCATTCCCCTGGCAACATCCAGTGCCTGTCGCACAGCAATCTTCAAAGGCACAGATCGGTTTTGTCTCTTCATCAGAAACTGTCGAACCGATCCACCCTTTGCATACTCAGTGACAATGCACCAAACCATCTGCTTTCTGCAAGCCCCTATGAATCTAACGATATTGGGATGCTTCAGGTTAGCAAGCATCATTACCTCCTGAGCAAATTGCTGCTCCATTAGTTGTCCTCTATCCGGATCATTCTCTGGCCTCTCTAACAGCTTAATTGCTACATCTTCGCCATTGTAGACCCCCCTGTAAAGCTTCCCAAAAGCCCCTTGGGCAAAGGGCTCGCCCATGCTAAGCTGCCTGAGATCAAGCGTCCACTCTTCATAGTTGTCTAGGCCTTGGGTGGGAAAGCCCGGGTCCATCAGAGCCTGGGCAAGGGCATCATGGTTGAGGGGATGGGTGACCCGACCAGGACGGAATATACTGTGGCCAATAGAGCTGCCTGCTGTAATTGTCTGCCTGAAACCACTGTGGTGAAGGATTCCAGTCCGCGAATCGCTAGAACCAACGCTGCTATTCTCCACCGACATCGCCACCGACCCGCCACCAACGCTCGTCTGTATACTGTCAACTGACATATTCGATCCCTCGCCAAGTTTCCTGTAAAACCCCATATCGTAAAAGTTTCCCCCACCGCCGCCTCCGGCAATAATTCCAGCGAATTTAGTGGTGTCCATCATCCTGCAACGCCGCGGCTCGGCACGAAACCCTTATTTCGAAACTAATCTAGCTAACGGATAGCGTAGCCCTCGGAATCAGAGCTTCCTACCTTGTAATCAGAAGCCTCAGCATCGTCCCCGACGGAAGCTGAATGAAGCATAGAACGATCCCAGGCTCAACCAAGAAAGCAAAAAACGGCTCGATCTGCGATCCTAGACGGTAAATTTCAGCACTTCGGGGCTCGACCTGGAGCTCTTCGTCCGGCGAGTCGAAAGAGAAGGACTAGATCTGAAGACATGGTGGTGGGAGATCGGAAGAAAAGGATTATTGGAAGAGCTTATTCCTCGCTGCATGCGGCGAAGGGAAAGACGACCAGAGAGCTACAAAAGAAGCAAGTCTCCATTTTCTCAATGACTGTGAGTTATTGGATGAAACAAAGCTAGTAATATTCTCGGATATTCCCACCTTTAAAGCCATCCAACGGTCTAAATTGCTTGATCACTGTACGTACGGATTCGTTTTGACGGTGGTGATCAGGGTAGAGGAAACATCTTTTCCAAATAATTGGCAAGGCAAACGATAAGAAAAAAAAGAACACGTGTCCTTCTCATTTTTTTAAATAAAATTAAAAATTATCTCCAATCTTTTTCTTGAGGGTAGACTAAGCTCTAAGCGTCTGTTTGGCATAGCATTAGATTTAATTTTAGTGAGATTTAGGCTTTTGTTTTGGATAATTTTCTTATTAGTTCTTAAAATATTATTTTAGTATAATTTTTTTTTACTAAAAAAATATTTTAAGAAATAATAAGAAGATCGTCTCTTTAGTAAATACTATAAATTCTAATTTATTAAATCAAGAGGGTGTTAAATCTAAAAAATTATGTGATATGGCATATGTTAAATCCTAATAAACTGTTTGGCAAATTAATCCAAGATTTAAGCAGTTGGTTCATTTAGAAATTTAATTTAATGTGTTTTAAATTTAATTTGTTAGTTAATTATGATTTACTTATCAAATTTAATTTTAATTAAATTTAATAAGTTTAGGGTTAATTAATATAATTAGAAATTAGCTCAATTGGCTTCGAACAAGTCACCTATCATTACATTTCTAGGGTTTGCTTTTTCTCTTTTGCATTTCTTTGTTGTTGTTATGCTTCGTGTGAAATTGAGTTTTATAAGTATCGAAGCATCTGTGCTTTCTTTGAAGATGTTCATGTCTGATAGGAAGTTGCAAAAGAAGTTCGCAATGAAGGTATCGATATTTCTCCCCTTCTACACGCTTCTTCCACTAAATTCTAGTCCGTCAATCTGTAAATCCGCTGAACGATCATGATTTACTGAATCCCGAATTTACGTCGTAAATCTGTAAATCTGGGATTTACACGACATTCAAATTTACGATGCCTTTGAAAATTGTTTGACATAATTTAACATAAATCCGACGTAAATCTAATACAAAACCACCCCTAAGAAAGACTTTATGTGTGACAACTTTCTTAATACTTTTAAAAACATTTTTTTAGTACAAAAAATTTTTGTACAAAAAATTTACTTTAAAAAACATTAATAAATCCGTCACAAATAAAGCCTAATTTTATTTCCTATTAACTTAATAAATGTGCATATAAATAAAAAAAAATTATTATATTTTTTTGTGTGTGTGTAATTATTTCTTCCATTTTCATTTATAAGGAACTTTAGAGTTTATGTAGATATTATTAAAAAAATTATATTGAGTATCCAAATAATTTTAATTCAAAGTTATTATTATTATTTTGATAAGTTTCATTTCCTTAGTTAAACTCATAATTAATAGATAACAACAATTAACTTTGATGATAATCGCACTCACACATCCTCATTTGGTCACTTCATCCTTTTGATCCACGACCCGCCAACCCTCCTAGATGTTGCTTGCCCGTAACATTGCCCTATCATTTGGTAATATCATCCTTCATAGTGACAACATCATAACCCTCTCCTCCTCCATCTTCTTCACCATCTCTCATCTCCAAAACTCCCTCGAGCTTACTATTGAGGTCCTCGCTATTCGCTCCGCACCAAAACTCATAACCCTCGGTTTTTCCTTTTGATCCACGACCCGCCAACCCTCCAAGGTCAACAAGCTTTTCTTCTTTCCATGCATCACCATCTTCTTGCTCAAAGCCTATGATGGGCACTTTCTCATTAGATTAATCCTTTATGCTCAAATTAATAATGATAAGAGATAGCCCAATTTATTGCAACAATGAGTCTATATAAGATATTTATATGTTGCTCATTTGGAAAAAAAAATTAATGTGGGAGCATATATAAATATTCATATATATTAGATGCTATATAAATTTAAGACTATTAAAGTCATGACCTAATAGAGAATTAATTATTATTTTGCTAATAAGATATCTCATTAATTTAATATTTAATTAGACCGAGTATTTTATTTATTTTATTTTTAAGATGATTTAAAATAAAAAAATATGTTTAGATAATATTATTATTGTTACGTGCCAAAAAATTTGAGCTGGTTGAGTGTGTGTTTTATATCTCGGTGTTTCCCAGAAATTAAGCACACACATATAAAAGTAGTAAGATCGTAATTTTTTTACGTAGAAAGTCCATAAAGGAAAAAAAAAACCATAGGGTTCAGACCCAAATGAAACATCAAAGTGTCCACAGATAGACAATTAACTTCCAATAATAGAGTTTGATTTCCCTAATAGGGGTTATGTAAAATAGGTGTACACATACATATAACTATATCCAACAATAGAGTTAAATATTGTTAGAATTTTGGAGATGGTGGCTATCAGTCATGGTGGTCAGCGACATCAATGGTGGTTGTCAGTGACAAAAATTGGTTATGGTTGTCAGAGGCGATAGCTGAAAAATACAAGAGAGCTTTTTAATTCTTTCCTTCATTTCTTCCCCTCATGTGAAGAATTAGACTTTATTTATAAGCTTTTTTCGGATGATCATTTTGATATTGAACCATAATCAAAAACACTCTATCGTACGGTTCTTATTGATTTTCTTAATCGTAAAGTAGTTTTTTAGCATTAAGTGCCTTGATGATGCACGAATTGAGTGATATTGGGCTCTTGGATTTGTCTTGTCGAGCCGCTTGATTTGACTATAATAAGGTCAATTTTGGAGTTCAGATGTTTATGGTTTTAATTTCAAAAGTTTTCAATTCAAAGATTACCATGAAATTCATGCAAATCATATGATTTTCATAGAGTCATATCAATTATCTTTAGGCTAAATTATTTGTTCTTATTTTTCTTTCATTTTGAATGAAAAGAAGTCTCTCTCTCTCTCTCTCTCTCTCTTAAATACTTTGATGAGGAAGTCCAAAAATTCAAAACTTGTTTTTTAATGAATTAAGGTAGACTTCTAATAATTTATTCTTGAATATTTGACTTAAGATTTGGTGTAGTAAACTTAATTTTCATGAATTGAACTTTCAATTCCTCCATGATACAACAATGTCTAAGGAAAGCTTAGACAGGAAGGGGTGGCTAGTGAGGATCTAGGGCCCCTAGGGGCCCTAGCTGGTGATACTTTTAACATGTGATGGTGGGTGATTTCATGACACATTATAGTCAGAACTCCACGTTTGAGGGTGTGAGAACAGGGGCGCGTTGGTGGTGTGTTCCTTATTTTTCAAGCATCTTACGAATACAGAAGTTGTGTACGAATGTCTCGAGGGTGGCAGTATTGTTGAGGAAGGAGCCGATGCGGTGATGATTGTGGAAATGGACGTGATGGTGGGGAGAGTGAGGAGCGATGGTGAGGAGGTATACGGATTTCAAAGTTGGGAGAAGGGGTTTGTGCGAGGAGGCTATGGAGGTGGGCAAGTTATTGCTAATTTATCATTCCTAGCAATGTTTACAAACTTTATGCAAATATATATTAGACATGTTTTATTTATGAGAATTAAGAGTTTTTAAAACATTTAAAATAAATAAATATGTCAAATGGTTCAAAATCGAGTGAATGGAATATGAGTAGAGTCGGGCCGATGCCAACTAGTTACGATAAATAGGTTAAGTTCGGATCAAATATGTTCGAATTAGATAAATTTTGAGTTGTATTTGAACTCAATAAATAAATAAATAAACAAAGAAGTAAAAATAACACTGGACCTTAATACCCTCCTCTCATCCACGTTCGTAGGATTCGGTAAGGAGGCCAGTTATGTACATCAATAATTATGAATTTATTTTATATGATAAATAAATAAATAAATATATTAATTTAAATACATGGCTTGTATTTAGACTATTAAATATCATAAAATAATAATAATAAAAAAAACCCCAATCAGACACAAATTTTCGGTTCTAGAGGAAGCATCCCTCCTTCGGTCTTACCCTTTCTGCAGTTCCTCTTTTAGATGGCAAAATCCAGTTCCGTTCCAGTGAGTTTGGCGGGAATAACCATTGATTCAAGCGAGTTTTGGCGGGAGGTCGCCGGAGGAGGGTGGGCGACCGCGGCGGTGCTTCTTCTAGTCCTCTTTTTGCAGCTTGTGAGGGCTTTTACGAGGCGCCGAGCCGTGACTTCCGATCAGGCGAATTTGGTTGCAGGGGCTGCTACGGCGAGTTTGGCGATCGGTAGCAGCACAAGAAGGTGTGCTGTGGTTGTTAGTTCTTCTTGACTACCATCTTTCTTGTTTCAATTTGCTAAATCCGCACGTCTACTTGGAGTCAGCGATTTCTATTTTGTTCAGTTCTTTCTTCTGAAATTGATTTGTTGATTGCTATCAGTAATAGTAATAATTAGATAATAATTTGGTGTCTCTGTTGAGAAAAGTTTGTAGGTTAATTTTAGTTTGCATATCTTACAACAAATCGATTTTTTTAATACATTTGGAAGATGATTGTCGATTTCATAGTTCGATATTGTTCCAGTTTTTTGGGTGTATTTAAATATGGTTTTGTTGGATAATGTTGAGACTGATTCTTTCACTGTGTTGTAGGATTTTAGGTATACTATCTGACGCTGATTTAAAGGACCTGATAACTAGTTTGGACGGGAAGAGCAATGAAAGTGAGAAATGGGAAGAAATTATCACGAAAAGGAATGACAGCGTTTCCTACCATGCGAAGTGTTGTAAACCCAAGGTTGTCTTTCTTTCAATCCTTACATTGTTCTTTCTGTCAGTTCTTGGACATGAAGTGATTCACTGAGATGTTGTTATATTCATTTTGATGATGTGCACCGCTATTTATCGCTATGTTCCATTGTACTGCTCTATAAAATGCACTATATATTGCTAGGTATTGATGTTTATTGATATGTGAAATATGAAGTGATGCAGCACCGTGTGAGGTTGTAGACCTAAGATTGACTTTCTTTCAATCCTTCACTTATTCTTTGAATCAGAAGTTATTCACTAAGATAAACTGGTATTTCTTATTGTAATGTGGAAGCCTTGGGATTTAACATTTTCGGAGGTATTTGGGAATGTGCTTTTTGTTAACTTGTTAACGTCAGGTGAAAATAAATGATTTATAAGATATGATATTGATTTCGCGCATAAAAAAATATTCATTGATTTATTGTAGATTTCAAACCCAGCAGTCTAGAGGAATCATGCACTAATAAGGAAGCTTTTGAGATAGTTCTAACATTGATTGATGTTGCCAGCGAATCGCAAGGGATAATGAGCCTCTTATTGATGCTAGAAAAAAAGAGTTAGAGCTTAACAAGGTCATTGATGATGAAGATATTGCAAAGGATTATATACTAGTTGATGACATTTGAGATAAGACTTCAAGGGAGCTAGATCTTGGCATAGTTATTAGTGATAAAAAAAATTAGCTTTAAGACTTGGAACTAGAAAGAGGTATTCAGAGAGATCTAGCTTGACCAAGTTGAGGGAGTAGGCCCCCAAGAAGGTTGAACTTGAAGAAGTTTTTGGCAAGAGGAATGTGAAGTTCATGTTGCTACGAATTCAAGTGATTTTGAAGTAGATGCTCCAGTAGAGAAGTCATTTTAGATAGGGCATGGGTTGGTATTTCCAAATGCAAGTATCAAAAGCTACTTATCAAAATGAACTCCCAAAAGAAGGTGACTAAGAGTCTTGAAGTCACGTGCATATTGAAAAGATGAAATCGGATGAGCAAATTGAGACTCAATTAACTTTATAGAGGGAAGTTGTCATGTTTTAAGTCTTTAGTCTTTAGTGGAGTCAAGCATAAATAGGGGTGTAAATGAGCCGAGTTGAGCTCGATCACCCTTTGCTTGAGCTTGATTAATTAATCAAGGTTGAGCACGAGCTTAATTCTCTGAGTTTGAGGCGGCTCATTTATTTTGAAAGAAAGAAAATGATTATGATTCAAAAAATTATTATAATGCATTGGAAAAAAATTAGAAAAGTATTAAATTATCTCTTGATTTAAGAAAGTGAGGGGTAAATTTAAATATTTTAATAATTTTATACATAAACTCTTGATTATTAATATATTTATATTAATATTTTTTTGATCAAAGTGATGGTGAAATAGATAGGGATATTATTTGTAGAATTCAAGTTGAATTGTTGAAGTGGAGAGATGCATCGGGCCTATTGTGTGATAGAAAAGTCCCCCTCAAACTTAAGAGAAAATTTTATAAGACGGTGGTGAGACTTGCAATGTTTTGTGGTGCAAAATGTTGGTCATTAAAAGAGAATCATAAATTAAGTTGTGTTGCAGAAATGAGAATGTTTAGTTGGACGAGTGGCTTTACACTTAGAGACAAAATGTGAAATGAGTGCATTTGTGAAAGATTGGAGTAGCTCCAATGGAGGATAAGATTAGAGGTAGTTGGCTAGTTTCCTTAGATGGTTTATTTGCATAAAATATTGGCATTCCGATGACCATGTTAAGAGAGTGAGTTTATTAGGTCCGACCTATGTTAAGAAAGGTAGAGGTAAACCTAAAAAGACTTGGTTAAAAAGTATTAAAAATGACATTTCTTTATTATATTGAATGAGAATTAGGCTCTTAATAGGATGCAATAGAGAAAAAGTTTTATGTAGCCGACCCGATGCAGTGTGATAAAGGGTTGTAGTAGTAGTTATTGTTGTATTTTATATTAATATTTTTAAACAAACCAATTCACAAGCTAGGAGAAGTTTCATCATCTTATTGAGACTTCGTATTGAGGAATTATTTTGAGACTTCAAGAATGAATAATTCGTTCTTAGGGATGAGTTTATACCATGCTAGGAGAAGTTTCATCATCTCCTTACATTGAATTCAAAGGTTTTGTTGTTGGTTCTATTCATACCTTCAACTGAGGACTTGCATCTTGGAGTTTTTATGGTTCTCTTTATTTTGAAAATTTTTATGAACTCGTGCAAAAGAAAGTAGAGAATTAGTTCAAATGTTATATTTATCTGTATTTTATTTTTTGAAATTTATGTTGTATTGAAAGTTACACTCAATGAATGAAAGTTTGATTTTCATTGAATTTATTAATGTTTAGGAGAATTAGGAAAATTGTTTAGATCTCACTCTTGTTGATGTGTGTTATGTAAAGTTGACCTATTTGACTAAAGTTAGACTTTGAATAGTGTTCATTCTTTTGGGTGAAGCCAGTAATTTATTCCAATCTAGCCATGACATCGACGAGTTTCCTAGAAATTAAAAGTTGAATTATCCATACAATTGGCAAGTTTGCCCGGCATTTGAAATTCTTCAATAGATTTGTGATGATGGCCAAATATTTTTGGATATTTGGTGATCAAATCAGTATTCATGATGAAAATTTCAAAAATTGGCATTTTGATTTAATAAGGAGGTTAGGGCTTAGATATTTCACCTATAAATAGGACATGTTTATGGCATCATCGTTCTTCATGTATATGATTCTGATAGTTTCTTGCTACTCTTCACTTCCTCTATTCTTCATCTTCTTCCTCTCTGCCCTTCTAGAGTTTGTTCAAAGGTGGAAAATTACATGCTTAACTACTTGATGAATTTTGTGAAGGCAGCGTGGAGCTGAATTCACTGATCAAGGTGAAGCATTTTATGAGTTTGCTGGCATATTTGATGTTTCCAAAGTATTCGATTAGGTTTACAGGGAGTAAGAAGTTCCGCAACCGCTTCTAATGGTGAATTATGCTTTTACCAAAATTAGTTTCAACTTGTGTTACAATTCTCCTTATTTCCTGAAATTGTTAAGATCTTCAGCTTCTTCAGCGTTTTCCAGTGTAAGTGATGCTAAACTCCTTCGTGAATATTGTCTCCTACTCCCGCTCCTCTGGACGTAGAGTACAACATGGAATCCAAATATCTTTAAGCCTTATTTAGGATGGAGAGCTTTAAGGAAGACATCATTTTATTCCAGTCGAGAAATATGAAGATGGAAGGACTTGAGTGAAGACCAAGGATTGGAAAATGCAATACTATTTTCATAGAGTTGGCCAATGGTTGCTTCTCTTAGACTAGGTCAATGAAATTTTCGAAGGAAAAAGATTGCTATTCCCCGCCTTTCAATCAAGGAATACAAGCAATTTATGGGACTTATAGATTACATTATCAACTATAAGGTTTATTCTTTCGATTTGATTAACAGGACAATACTCACCCTCTTACCTAAGCTGACATCTAAAAAGAATTGAAACTTGATTGAAATTTGAAGTTGAAATTTACTCATCTTTTTAACTGATCAAGTTGCTACGACTTTACTAGTTTTAATATTTTTGGAGACCCATTAGTTGATGTTGATTTGGTTTGGGGGCGGATCTAGACCTGATGAGTCTTTTATTATTAATGTAACTGAGGAAGATGGTCTTCTTTTTGAGAGAAGAAACCTGCTGTAGAGGAGGTGAGTCTATCTTGGGGCTTAGGATTGAGAAGAGGAAGATGCGACAGAGTTTATTGCTCCACAAGCTCCAATGTTTGTTTTACTTGCTTTTCTTAGGACTTTGACATCATCTAAATTTATTACACTAGTGATAACCCTTCCTCCAACAATGAATTCGACTTGTGGAAACCTATGTTGTATCGGGTACACACAAGTTTATACTTAGGCCGTATTCAATTGTGGTTGCACTCTCTTTGGGCAGCATGCCTATCCTTGTTGAAGGTGACATTTAGGAAATTGGCATATTAGTTTTAAGGAGACCATGCATCGTTAACTTAGATGGTGATCTTGCAAGCAAGCCGACTCAAAAGAAGAAACCTAAGCGCGTCTTGAGATCGAGATAACTTTGAAGGAGAGCAAGGCAGAGAAGATGAAGAAATCAATGACGCATCCCTACCAAGCTTTTATACCTTTCTTCCATAATGAAGATGATAAAGCTATCTTCATGTGGATATGAGAATGGGAGAAGGCTGTGGTTGACTTCAAAATAGATCCCTTTAACCAAAAAGTGAGCTGAACTTGGCTACCTAGTACCTTGGCCCTTTGATCTTTTTGAGCAAGCCAGCCAAGACAATCCCCATGACTTTAAGTGCTGTTTGAGGTATTAGACTTATATTCACAAAATTTTTTGCACTTTTATTTCTGCATCTTTTACCCTTTGTTGTAGCTTTTAAAAAGATAATACGAATTTTATTTTACATATTCATGAAAGTGGTCTTTTATGGGCGTTGTTGTAGAATGATGTATACATATTTTACTTCTTTAAATTCATATTTTTATGCGATTTTATTCACGTTTCAGACTTTCAGTGCAATCAAGTTTTGAAACTTTTCTTTCAAATCTACCCCTAGGATTGACATCTATTACAATCTTTTCAGGAAGGTCCCTTGAAGTACCTTAGTGTGACCATATTTGATAAATGCCCTACAGAACTGTTACGAGACTTTTATATGGATAGCCATTACAGAAAAAAATGGGATAAGACTTTGGTCGAGTTTGAGCAACTGGAAGCTGATGAAGCCAGTGGAACAGAAATTGGCCGCATAGTGAAGAAGTTTCCGCTTTTGACTCCTAGGGAGTACATTTTGGCGTGGAAAGTTTGGGAAGGAAATGATAAAACCTTCTATTGCTTTACTAAGGTACGTTCTCCTTCACTCTGAAATCTTTTATGAGACCTAACTTTGTCTTAAGTTAAGGTGCTAAGTTTCATAAAAATGTTCGGGATTGTATTTGGTTACTATTTTTCTGGTTGGCGTTTCTCTCTGTTACAGTAACAAAGGTGAACCACTACGTTTTTGGTATTATCTGCAAGGATTCTTGTTTTTTTTACTAGTTGGTAGAAAGTAAGTGTGTGCGCGTGTGTTGAGGGGTGGGGCAGTTATGTTAGTAAAAGAAAATTGATAAACCATATTATTTTTCTGCAAAATATGGTATGCAAGGCAGCAAAATAATTCCTAAGCTTTTCTGAAAATGCAACTGGCGGAAAGATTTTAAGGAATGTGTAAAATGTATGGTCTCTGTTTTTAATTGTCTTTGGCAAAGAATTAAGGTCCCTTAGAGCTGTTTTTTCACTGTTTTATTTTTTAGACCGCTATCACATTTTTTTCAGGCTTCTATTTTTTGCTTTTCATAAATTTTTATCCTCATTTTTATTTGTTGGATATTTGTCCTAGATTCAGGATGTGTGCTTTCTTTAGTTTTTTTTGAATGGCTTGTATTGCCATTAGTGTAGCTTTTTGAGCCTATATATAGAGGCTATAGGCTATATTAGGGTTATGATTAAGAATTAAATTCAGCTCCTCTCTCTCTCCTCTTCCCTCTTACCCCTTCCCCCCTCCTCCTCAAGAAATTCAAGAGGAAGTGCTTCTTCCTCTAGTTCAAGTTTCAACATTTATAATGAGAAACAACTTTTTACTTATATATGCTAAAATGTGATAAATGAAAGAAAACCATTCTCTGAATTTTTCAAAAATAAAAAAAATTATAGTACCACAGTACCACAGCTTAAGAAATGTTATTTTCATTGCAACAAATCTACAACTATTTTTACTAATAACTGTAACCGCACTATTTTTACTAATAACTGTAGCCGCCCAAATGAACCCTTTCCTAATGCATTTGAAACTTGAAATTGAGAATAATGATCTGCCGCATGTGTATATTTTTCATTGATTGTCTTTTTAGATTAATGTCCTGTCAGGTCTGACTCCTTTTTCCCTCTTATGATTATGTTAGGATTGCGAGCATCCTTTGGCTCCGCGACAGAAGAAATTTGTCCGAGTTGGATTTTTCAGATCTGGTTGGCGGATCAGGAAAGGTAAGCAATCAAGCTTCTTTTTCATACGTTTTGTTCCAAACATTCTGCTTTCCGAATGAAAAGAAAGTCTATCTTATTGTTTATACGGTATTTTTATTCACCTCAGTGCTTCTGCTTGGAAATTCTTATCCACTCTCTTGCTCTTGAATATCACTGGAATATTACATTGTTTTCATGATCATTTTTTGGTGATTTGGAGAGCTTGGTTTGCTACTTGTCCTTCTGAAGAAAGGGTTCGCACCATCAAGCAATTGCTTGTTTATTGTTTCATAAACCAGATTTATTAAGAAGCTATGAGAGAAATTTCACTTCTCTGATATTTGTTTTGTATGGCCTCTTGGACTGAAAATGCATAGCTTTTTGTGCTTCCGCTTTCTTTTATTTCTCCTTTTTAACATACATGATAATTTTTTTTTTTGCTGTTGTGCAGTTCCTGGTACAAATGCATGTGAAATTGCTATGTTGCATCAAGAAGATGCTGGACTGAACGTAGAGATGTCAAGACTAGCTTTTTCTAAGGGGATATGGAATTATGTCTGTAAGATGAACAACGCTTTGTTAGAATATTCAACCCATAGCCGAGCCAGTTCACCTGCAGTTGCTACTATGAATAAGCTTATCCGAAAGGTATCAGCATTTTGTAGACCTAAATGACTAAAAAATAAAAAAAGATTTGAGATGCGTGTTCTATTACTTTCTTGACAACACTTTCGAGACAATGCATGCTTGTTAACTGGAATTTATATTGTAGATGCTTAGTGTATGTAATGCTTTTGTATGATTGCCTATTGATATAGCACTGAAGAACTTTGCTACTACTTGAATATCTTTTGAGCCCTTATGCCATTTTTTTTGAGATGCAAGAATTCTGTTATCTGCGATGCAAGAAGTCTGTTATCGAAGGATTTATTTATTTCTGTTTGGTGAGACTCTTGACTTTCAGTATGCAATATTTGATGCGGACATCCAACCGTCCATGGCTATCCGAGGAGCTGAAGATCAACGGCTGTCATCGTCCCACGTTATCTTATATTTTATTTGTAATTTTTAAAATTTTATTATGAATTTTCCGTTTTTACCTTCACTTAAGAGGGTCGTCCTATGTAAGCCTTAGGGGCATATATGTCTTGTTTTAGTTTCTTAGGCCTATATATAAAGGCTCTTTCTTATGTAATGGGATAATGAATTGTTAATGAAATTTTATTCTACTTGTTTGATCTCTTAGTGAGTTCATGAGAGGAGAAGGATCTCTTTGTGAGTTCTTGAGGAAGTGGAAGGATCTCTTTGTGAGTTCCGGGATTCCCAAGATCTCTTTGTGAGTTCTTGAGGAAGTGGCGCTTGTAGATCTCTTTGTGAGTTCTATTGGAGGTGTTGCTCGAGGTGTGTAACTCCGGATTTTCTTTTTCCTAAACCCAATTTATTTATTCTCTACCTAACAAAACTCTCTTCCTTCCAAATCCCATTCACCGGCCCCCATAAATCCACCGTCGGCCACCCCAGGCCAATCCCGCCACCGGCGGCTCCGCCGGCCTCCTTGCGACGGCCAAGCCACCGGCCTACCTATATGGAATTTCAAATTTGAAATTCAAATTTGTTTCCAAGAGGCATTGAAGACTTTCCAAAAATAGTTCCTTGATTTAAGACTTTCATATTAATTGGATGTCAATTTGAATTTAAAATTCAAATTAATTCTAATTGATAGCCCAATTATTGGAAACTTTCCTTTCTTTCAAAATTTGAATTTTAATTCAGATTTTGTTAAATCTTTGATTAGTAATGTGGGCCCCACTCTACTTATGACAAATAATCTCCTCCCTCTCTCTTTGTGGCCGGCCCCCTCATTGGGCATAATCTCTCTCCTATCTCATTAATAGCCCCCCTCATTAAGCCTCCCTAATTACCTCCCACAATTCCCTCATCCAATTTAATTCTCCCCATTAAATTTGAATTTAAATTCAAATTCATCCCGCCAATTCCACTTAATATGAAATTTAATTTCAGATTTTCATTCTCTCTCCCTAAATTGATTTGGGATTTAATTAATCTTGCCACCTAGGCAAGTAAATGGCATTTATGTTTCACATCATCTTGGTATCAGAGCAAGGTAGGCATGCATATCATCGCATATCTAAATTTTATTCACTGTTTACATTGCTGTCTTTACAATTCCTGCACGCTTTTAGTGAGTTTTGGGTTAGCATTTCATGTACCTAAGTGCTGTCCACACTCTTGACACCTAACCCAACACTTAATGCATTTATTCAAGCCTTGTAGTGTGCTGTCCAGGAAATTTCTGCATCATTTACCTGCTGTTAGGTGACCTAACCTAGTGTTTAGGTGCTGTCCACCTCCTAAAATCCTTCCTAAACACTTAGATAACTTTATGCCTTGTTGTAGTTTGCTGTCCACATATTTCCTGCACACATCTAGTGAAATATAGGCTAGTTTCTTAGGCGTTTGGGTGCTGTCCTCAACCTAACAACCTCCCTAAGTGCCTAGGCTACTTAACCCACTAGCTTAGCTTGCTGTCCAAACTTTTTCTGCACCTTGTAGTGAGTCTAAGTGAGCTTAACTTAGTGTCTAATTGATGTCCTTTACGCCCATTCTTCTTTAAGCATCACTTAGCACTTTCCAATGGACTCGATAGGTTTTCAAAAGAGGTTAGACGATCTAGTTAGTCTTGTAGGCTCTCTAACTAAAACCACAAAGGAGGAACATGTTGACTCTCCCCACTCTAGGTACGTACCCCATTTGCTCAGTCATGCTAGTCGGAAGATGCCCCACTCTGCTTATCAACCGAGACCTGAGTCTAATCCTCAACGACCTCACAAAGAGATCACTTCCTCCTCAAGAACTCACTAAGAGATCTTGAGAATCTCGGAAGTGGAGGGATCTCTTTGTGAGTTCCAGGATTCCCAAGATCTCTTTGTGAGTTCTTGAGGAAGTGGCGCTTATAGATCTCTTTGTGAGTTCTATTGGAGGTGTTGCTCGAGGTGTGTAGCTCCGGATGGATCTCTTTGCGAGTTCCAGGATTCCCAAGATCTCTTTGTGAGTTATTGAGGAAGTTGCGCTTGTAGATCTCTTTGTGAGTTCTATTGGAGGTGTTGCTCGAGGTGTGTAGCTCCGGATTTTCTTTTTCCTAAACCCAATTTATTTCTTCTCTACCTAACCAAACTCTCTTCCTCCCAAATCCCCTCCACCGGCCCCCATAAATCCACCGTCGGCCACCCCAGGCCAATCCCGCCACCGGCGGCTCCGCCGGCCTCCCTCTTGGGAATTTCAAATTTGAAATTCAAATTTGTTTCCAAGAGGCATTGAAGACTTTCCAAAAATAGTTCCTTGATTTAAGGCTTTCATATTAATTGGATGTCAATTTGAATTTGAAATTCAAATTAATTCTAATTGATAGCCCCATTATTGGAAACTTTCCTTTCTTTCAAAATCCGAATTTTAATTCAGATTTTATTAAATCTTTGATTAGTAATGTGGGTCCCACTCTACTTATGACAAATAATCTCCTCCCTCTCTCTATGTGGCCGGCCCCCTCATTGGGCATAATCTCTCTCCTATCTCATTAATAGCCCCCTCATTAAGCCTCCCTAATTACCTCCTACAATTCCCTCTCATCCAATTTAATTCTCCCCATTAAATTTGAATTTAAATTCAAATTCATCCCGCCAATTCCACTTAATCTGAAATTTAATTTCAGATTTCCATTCTCTCTCCCCAAATTGATTTGGGATTTAATTTATCTTGCCACCTAGGCAAGTAAATGGCATTTACGTTTCACATCAATATTGGTTGGTGCTTGGTGGTTGAAGTATATTGAGGAACTAATATCATTATGTCTTTTGTTCTTAGAATTTCAAAATAAGTAAATTACTTTGAATCCATACTTAAAAAATGCTGTTAGCTGCATTAACGTTATTTATCTCCCTACAATCTATCATGCATCTTTTGCAATTAATTTTCTTATCTGGCTTCAAAAGAATAAATGATCCCCAATATTGCATGTCAACAACTACATTTGAATACCAATGACATATGGCATTTTTCTTAGTTTTTGAAAGAGAGGGTGAGGGTTTGATTCTAAAATTGTCAATAACAACTAGGTTTGAACCCAACTAAACATGATACTAGAGATTTAAATTAATTTTTAAGTACCCATATGATATCCGTTGAGATAGTTTTGATCTAATTCAATAAAAATATATTTCATGCAAAATGCTAAATTGGCACCACAACTGAAACTATGGAGATTCAAATAATATGTAAATATGCTTCAGAAGTAGCTCCTTAACAAAAATTGTTTAGCATACTGATATGGTTCTTCCTGAACCGCCCAAACCGGCCCCACCTAGGCCGGTTCACGTATACAGGAGACGGTTTAAGTTGCCTCCTTCCGTGGGGATTGAGGGCCCACTTTGGGTGAGATCTAGAGAACGGGAAAAGGGGCGGGCAGCAATTAGAGAAATTATTTAGGCTTCTCATCTAGAGACTGGGAGAGAATGATCCTCCTCTCGAATTGAGGATCCATTGTATCTTTGTTTCATTCTTGCTTCGCTTTGATTTCTATAAAATTATCTATTGATTTTGATTGCTTCCTTCCAAATTCTTCTATTTTTCTCGTTGATTTTACGGATTATTGTTAGGTTTGCTTGCGAACTCAAGTATTCCTATTAGGGTTACTCGCGAACTCAAGTATTTTCTATCACATACTTGGCTTAATATAAGTATCATAATGCAAAGTATACAATTAGCACATAGCTTCCATAGATGCTACTAGCATATAGTTAATGTGTAATCACTATCATCATCACATCCCAAGGGAATCAAATCGATGGCATGCTGGTAACCAGGGTGCTATCACACATGGGCTGTAATTTTACTTCCAACTCTTTTATGAAGCCGTTTCGATTTGCTCCTTCATCAATGTTGCTACTATTTGCTACCCTGTTCACGCATCCTATCAAATGATTGGTGGGATTGACCTCTACTCAGCCTAGTGGACTACTAATCCCCTCTAATCGTGGTTACTAAGTCCCCACACAATACTAGCTAAAACTTGAAACACAACAGATCAACAGGTGAGATCGGACAGGTCTCGCCACCAAAATTTGTACAACACAAAAAGGTAGGCTGTGTTAGTTTGAAAATTTCACCACTTAAGCACAAGAAACAGTCCCCCTAGTGTAATCATAAAGAATGTTAAAATCAGAATATTGAATATTTTTGTCCTCATAATACTGATTATAAAGGATGCTAAAGGGATAATTAAGAAAACAAATACACGTTTCTTTTAACGTAGGCATAAATGTATCAGAAAACTTAACAAATGGTCGGAGAGTTTAGATTGAATCTTTGTTGCTAGTTCATTAGAATCAGTTATAGAAATAGAAAGGTAGCAAGAATCTTGTTAAATAGCAAACCTGAACTTTTCAGAATTATACATTCTAACAAAAGATTTAAAACTATAATTGCTATTCTTCTTCCTTCCATCTCTTAACAAGAGATATGTAGTGCTGGTAATTATGTTTGAAACTTGCTTTACAATCATTCGAGTTTTACTCAAATTTCAGAAATTAATATCCTCCTACCTTAAGATGGCTCCTATTTGATTCAACACACTCAAAATTGACTTGCATTTATTAATATATTTTAAATAATTTTTTTATAAATATGTTCTGGATACTTTGGTATAGATAATAGTCATTATTATTAATTAAAAATATTTCAAAATATTAATATATTTTACTTGAATCAATTCGAAACTTAACTCAAAACTAGATTCAATCTTGACTCCAGTCAAAATCTAAATCTTCAACTTTAAGTTTACGCCAGCTTGTTAAAACTTAATTTGATATCACACTTTGATATGGTTAGTGGCCAGATTTTGCTCATCTTCTTTTATTAGTAGGATTTTTATGTTCCTCTGCCTACTTATGCCCGAGACCTTGTGGTCAATTCCAAGTGACACTTTGACCTTCGTGCAATGCTTGTCATGTGGATCCAATTGTGGGTTCCATTGCTGGTTACTGCATACTCTCTTCCCTTAGCTGCCGGTGTGATGAGTGTACAATCTTCTTGCTCATACAGGATGGCCACTTCAAGGAGTTGCAGAACTTTCTAACTTGATTGGTTGTTCCATTCCATGCAAAACTTTGGCCAATATGGCTGCTGACAGTGCCTTGCATCCTGCTGTAATCCTTGGAACAGTGAGCCACTTTCAGCAGGGTGTAGGTCACTCTTGGTGTCCTCTTTTTTAGTTATTTTTTTATTTTTTTTTTTATAAATTGATGCAAAAATATATGAAATTGTAATTACTATAATGGCAGAAGAAAAAGCAAAAATTGCATAGATTTACAATGACAAAAGACATTTTTGCAGCAAGATGAACATAACTCTCATTATCTGTTTCTCTTAAATTTCTGGATTCGCATGCTTAAAGGATCATCCATGCTTCGTTAGGTTTTATGTTGCTGAAAAGAACTGTTTTGTTGGAATTCTTCATCATCCTTTAAAAGCTACCAGAAAAACTCAAATCTTTTTATTATGCCACTAGTTTTCCCTGTTTTCAAAAGATTTCGTCAGTCAGAATAAACAAATAGCTGATGTATGTTACTCTTTTTTGAATATCTTGATTCTAAGATGAAAAATACCAAATTTTATTATTTTCTTCCTCTGAAATATGATATTTGTTGGTTCGTTTCTTTGAAGGGCTTCTAGCTCATGACTGTTATGCATTAACTTTTCAAGTTTGAACTAACATCTTCTCTAACCCTTGACGCTTAAGGAATCATTATGAGGAGGAATTATTCCGTGCGAAGTTCGGACGGTAAAAAATTGTTCGGATGTGAGCATACACAGTGTGTACACTGAGTATAATTGTGTACAAACATTCACATCCGAATGGTTCTTTACCGTCCGGAATCCGCACAGAATAATTTCTCCATTATGAGAAAGATTAATACCAAGTAGTGATTTAGTATAAAATTTTGGTTTGAAAGTTAACAGATAAAATGTTCTTCAGGTCCCCGATTTTATGGAGAGTGATGTTGGAGCAACTTGTTCAGACCTCTCTAATACCTCTTCTGATGGTCCTTTTAGCACTCCAGTCATTAAAAACGTCTCAGAAAGAGCAAAGTTGAAATTTCATTCAAAGTGGATTACAAATGGGCTTCTTCTGATTGGTGGCATTGCTTGTCTGTCACGCGGCCGGTCCACCCTTGGCACCCAAATTGCCTTGGCCTGTATTGTGAAAAAGCTGTTGAAGCATGGCTCTTCGTCGGAGAAAGCCGAGCCGCCCGGCGATGCTGCCAGTTCTCGTCGGGAATCCAGGTTAAGGAAATGAACTCAAGTCTTTATTAGCTTTTTAGGCTTCGTTTGGAACGACTTTTTTACTGCTTCTTAAAGCAATTTTTTAGTACAAAATTTTTAATTTTTTAACTAAAAAACAGCTTTAAGAAGCAATAAAAAACCGTCACAAACGAAACCTTCTTAATGGTTAAGTGCAATTGTAAGAATTGCAAATTAATGGAGGTTAATATCGTCTCAGAATCTGCAATACAATTGATTGTAGTAGTTTTGCCTTCTGTAGTTAAGAACTAATTTTACTGTGATGTTGGTATATGTATATAATATAGTAATAAATTATTTCTCCTTGTCGGCTTGGAAAATTTCACAACTATACTGCCAGAAGATTTTATTGTGGCAATTGCAGAATCTGTTATGGATGTTATTTCTCTACGGCTTTGTTTGCGACAGCTTTTTTATTGCTTCTTAAAATAAATTTTTAGTACAAAAATTAAAATTTGTATTAAAAATTTACTTTAAGAAGAACAACAAAAAGCCGGTCTCAGACAGCTTTCTTACTGCTTCTTAAAGTAACTTTTTAGTATAAAAATTATTTTAAGAAACATTAAAAAAGCTGTCCCAAACATCTATCTTTGAAAATCAAGTTAAACGTTTATGCATCTTTCTGAGAACTTGAAGCAGGAAGGATGAGCGAGGTCAGGCTGAACAGTATGGCAGACCCTTCCTTAAGAAGATCTGTAGCACGATAGCATGTGGATTCGGTAAGGATAAATATTTTAGTTTCTGCTGAGCCTATTAGTTTTACAATCTTCAGCGCCATAAGATTGAATCCTTTTGCATTGTATATGTTTGGTCGTCTTTGTGGAAAAATTGTAATACATATTTGAAGCTTATGCAAAATGAAGCTTCTGAAATGGATATTAGCTGAGGAAGATTTTGACTTTGTTTGGGATAGCTTTCCTACTGCTTTATCAAATAATATTTTGTACAATTTTTTTTTTTGAATTAAATATTTTTATATTAAAAAGTTATTTTATGAAATAGTAAGAAAGCTGTTCGAAAGTCGGAAATATCCTAATGCAACTCTAATGAATTTCATAAGTTCTTAAATTTATGCTGAAATAAATATTATGTATAATATGTTAAATTATATTAATCTCAATAGGGGTGTAAGTCAAGCTGACTTATAAACTGGCTCAGGTTCAACTGAATAAATGACTCATGAGCTGAGCTTAATGAGATACAAAGCTTAGTTTGAGCTAGTCCTAACTCGACTAATTAGCTCGCTAGCTGACTCGTCTAAAAAAATATTAATATAAAATACACATAAATATATTAATATTCAGGATTTTAAATATAAGATTATTAAAGATATTTGAAAAATATATTTTTGACGCGGGCTAGAATATTATGGCGATAAAGTACGAAAAACTTTAAATCTTAGAGTTGAACGAGTATCCAACACACAAACATGAAAAAAAGAAACATCACAATTTTTTACGTGTAAAACCCTTAAGAAAAAAATCATAGGGCCAAACCCAGTTAAAATGATTTAACTAGTATTTGAATAGATTACAAATAACTAGTTTGTCCTTGAAATTAAGGATGATTAGATTACAAAAGTCAACCGTAGGGTTGAAATCTAGTGACGAACGAAGATCAGACGGAAATCAGGCAACATTTAGTGGTCGGGCAAAGATTTGATGTTAGTTGGTGGCCAGACGATAATCCAGTGACAATTGGTGGTTGGGCTAAAATCCATAGGTAGCAGGGCAGAAGTCCGACGTCATTCAATGACCGAGAAGAAGTCGTACAATAGTACGACGATGGTTGATGGTCCAATGGTGGTCGAGGAGACGTCTAATGGTAATAGAACTCTATTTTCTCTTTCTTCCTTGCTTGGGTCACTTTCATGAGAAATGAGGGGTATATTTATAATTTTTTGATAGTGGCATGACCAATAAATAGGAGGAAAATCAAGAGTATGTTGGGAGTGGTTTGAATGAATGACTGATATTGATCCCCTTGATGATGGACCATTTCTTGGGCATTGCATTTGAATGTCTTAATGATATAAAAAATCGACGATTTTGGGCTCGTTGGATTCATCTCGTTGAGCTACTCGATTCGACTATAAGCATGTCATATTTGGAAATTGTTTGATCTTCCAATTTATGGTTTAAACTTTTCAAAGGAGCTTCGGGTCTTCAATTTGGACCCATTTGGGCTTGGATTGAATTGAATTTGATGTCCTTGGGTTTGACTTTTCGAGATTTTCAGTTTGACTATAAGTTGGCTGAAATCGGAGTTCATATGGTTCAAAATTTAATTTCAGAAGTTTCCAACTTTATTTTGCCTCGAAATTTGTGCCCGATCAAGGTAATTTTTTGATGATATAACAATTTATTTTTTTATATTAAATTATTCTTCATTATTTCTCTAATACTTTATCATTTTTTTACCATTTTATTATAATAATTGATTGAATCATAATCATTTTCTCTATTTCATAATAGACTTGTTGGCTCGTAAGTCAACTCGAACTTATAAAATAAAGCTCATGCTCGATTAATTAACAAAGCTCAAGCTCAAGTTCAAACGAGGAACTCAATCTCAGTTTTACTCGTTTACACCCCTAAATCTTAATATAAATTTAAGCTTTTTTGTTTATTTGACGTAATATCTTATTTGTATATCTAACACTCAAAATATTAATATTACATACATACAACACTATATTATTTTAATATCAAATATGCCACTTATATTTTCTTTCTGGCACTCATATTTGATATGAAAATGAATTATGGATAATATGTATGTAATATTAAACTTTTAGATCTTAAATATATAAATAAAATAATATATGATGGCATGTACGTAAATCTCCTAAAAACAAATATTTTTTTTTTAACTCACCGGGTCGTACTAACCCACTTGACCTGCCGATGAAGAACTCCTCCGTAACCATCCTTCTTCTTGTCCACACTGACCCTCTGGTAATTCGTCTGCTCCACTTTCAACTTTAAAGCTTTGACCATGACGACTGCTTGGACGGCATCGGAGGCGGCGCCGTCGCTGTCGGAGAACGGGCGGAGTTCGCCGGCTGTGACGGCGGGGCTACCTAGGACTGGGGATTTTCTCGGAAGGCACCGCCTATCCGCCGCCATCTCCCGGCTTGAGCAAGAGATCGTATCACTCGAGGTAATCTGTGTTTGGTTTGTACAATTTTCCAGCTTCTTTATTCATAGAAAGAATTCTGTCATACTTTATGCGAATAGAGGATTGTTCTGCTTTGATCTGAAACGAATATATGCTTAATTTGTTCTTTTTGATTTTTTGGTGGTATGTCCATGTACTTCTTATGATCTGAACGCTGATATATGGTGGGAGTTGTTATCTGATTGAAAAATTTTTATGAGAAAAATTATTAGGTTTGAGAAGTCCCCAAAATTGGATGATATAACTCAGTTATTATTTAGGAAGTTTATATCACTAAGAACGTCGCCTGGTATTTGAATTGGAGTGTTCTATAATCTAGGATTTTTTATGCAGATCTAATATGTATGGACCTGTGAATTTTGCTCAAAGCAATCCATTGGCATATATATAAATATGCAGCTCTTCTTAGCCTGTTGGTTGGTTGTTTAAACTATCAACCAAAAAGTTTTTGATTCTCGAAGCCTTGTATATGTTCCGTGTCTGAAAATTTGTGATTAAATTTACTCAAACAACAATAACATACAAAAACATCAAGCCTTTGTCCCACTATCTTGGGTCGGCTACATGAATCCTGTCTCTCCATCGTGTCATGTTAAAAGTCAAATTCTCGTTTAAATCTAATAAAGAAATATCATTTTTAATATTTTCTAAAGTCTTTTTAGGTCTATATCTACCTTTTCTTAACATAAGTCAAATCTAATACTCTACTTTCCTAATCGGGTCATCGGAAGGCCGCCGTTTTATGTGACCAAACCATTTAAGACGACTCTCTCTAATCTTGTCTTCCATTGAGCTACTCCAACCTTTTCACTTATATGGTTATTTTGTATCCCATCTCTAAGGGTAAAGCCACTCATGCACCTGAGCATCCTCATCTTTGCAAAACTTAGCTTAAATTCGCTCAAAATTAAAACAAAAAAAGATATCATATGCAAATATTTGCCAATAGTAGACAACAAATTAAATCAAATTCATATAACAAGTCCTTCACCTTTTAATCTAACTCATTGTGAGAATCAAAGATGATAAAAAACTCAAGAGCGATTGAAATTTCCTGCACAAAAGAGAAACAATTTTGTAATACATTTAAATGAAAATAATTGCACTTTCAACAATCAATGAAAAAAGATGAGAAAGACTGTAAAAATAAAAGAGGGAAGAATTAACCAATAGGCAATCTTCATACTTGAAAATAAGATCATCTCTCTCTGAATGCTCTAAAGTCTCATACTCATTAAGGATTAGTATCCCAAAAAAGATTTTTCTTAAACATCTAAAGAACTTTATTCACGCCATATAACTACTTTTCTTCATGCAAATTGTAAATATACATGTAACTAATTTGTTACAATTTAAACTTCATACGGCTCGCAAGAATAGCCACAAAGAGAAGCCACTTGAATAGTCCTGTGAATAATACGGCTTGCAAGAATAGCCTAAAATTTGAATACGGTAAGGTTAGATTACAAAGCATGTTGTACCTTAGAATAAGCATTCCTTTACCCAAATCCAGTCGTTCATCATAGGCATAATTTTGAAATTAATTGTGTTTATACATCTAACTCATCCTTTTTAGCAAAAACACACACACGTACAGATCATTTAATCTATTTATTTTAATTGAACTGAAAGTGAACAACATATTTGAGCACTTACAAGTTGGATCTTTCTTACCATGTGTAGTAAATTTTTTTTCTTTTTGCTGAGTACAATGTAGAAAGAGCTGGAGGAATTGGATACCATGGAGCCATCTTCTGTAGCATGTGAGGAGTAAGTGTATAAGTCTTTATTTTTCTTATATTCATCATCAACTTGATAATTTCTTAGCAATCTGACTTCTTTTTCATTGTATTTCAGTATTCTATTCTCCATGAATGGATTACCAGATGCTTTGCTTCCCATGTGAGTGACTCTCCAAAAAATTGAACCCTGAACTTTGCTTCAATGTTACTGTCATGTTTAAATGGTTTCATTCTTTGTATGTAGTACGACCGGCCCTGAGAATTCTGCATGGGAGAGGTGGTTCCGGCCGGTTCGAAGCTCTCGAAACCGCGCTTGGTGGGCCCATAGAAGTGCAGATCTTTCTTAGCTTCACTGCTCGAAGTTGAAACTGCAAAATCTTTCAGCAGAAGGTAATGGTGGCAAATAGAGCATGTTAATACAAGTTTGTAACAATAGTGAGAGACATGCCATTTTTTATCTGTAATTGAAGCTTGGATTTCTCAAATCTTGGAGTTGTCGTCAACAGTGAAGAATCTTGAAGCAAAATGGATAATAGAACTATTTAGTTTGTTGCAATACTTGGCGTGAAATGATTGGAGAAATGTATGGAAATGGAATTCCAGCTGAGGTATGTGTCTTCTGTTGCATATTCTTCTTTAGGGTTGTTTGATGTCCTTAAAGATTATTAATGCTTCTCAACTATGATTTTGATACTGTTAACATCTAAGTACATAGCTCTTTATTTTAATTTCTTAAAATATATTAAAAAAGGTTTTATACTATAAAATGCATAAATTCTTTTTATATATATTTTTTTAATCAAATTTTCTTGAAAGTTATAAGTTCTTTTTTTATTTGCACATTAATAAAGTTTTAAATATTAATAATAAATAAAAAATTTAACATAATAAATTTAAGAGAAAATTTCTTTTTTATTCATTATATTTCATTTAAAATAATCTCATTTTATAAATTTATTGCTACAAATACTTTTAAAATCAAATTACTAAAAAGAAAGTTGGTAATATAATATATTTGTTAAGAGTAAACTTCATTTGTGATTTTTTTTATCATGATTGTAATCAATATGATGAATTTTTTATCTTTTATCCCACCGATTTATAATTAAATTTTGAAAAATAAAAAATAGTTTATAAAATTTAGTTTTCTTTTTAAATAGAGAAGCAAATATAACTATACCCCAATGAATATTCCAATAATTATTATAATCATAAATTTTATAATTTATAGCCCTTCAAGAAAATTTTGGATAAATATTTAAATTTTTTGCGTTTAAACTTTTATAGAGAAAAATAAGTTGTGTTTATATATTTGCATAAAAAATAAATCTTTTAATAAAAATTTAATTGATTGTTAGGTAGTAGACTTTAAGCAACATTTAATTTAAATATACTAAACAATCAAAATGATAACTTTAAATCCTACAAAATCTTAAGTCGTTTCATATGTTTTGAAATAAATATCAAATTTAGTAAATACTGTCATTTGCCAAATTAAACTTAAAAAAATATTCTTTTTCACATGTTATTGCTCTCATTGATGTCTTCTCAAGCGAGTTCCCATTCATTGCAGAGTCTTCTCAAGTTGTCTTTGAGTCTTTGGCTTGTCGATCAAATGTTGCAATTTCTGCAAATGAATGAGCATTCTACAACAAAATTTATTAAGTAATATTTAACAAATTTTATGAACAAGCAGACTGATTAACCAACCCATTGTCATCTTTAACAATTTCTGAAAAATCCAAATTTTATTATGCATATAAATCTAAAAAAATAGATTTCCATAATCATAGGGATATGAATTCAAGTAATACATAAAAATGATTTTTTTTTTAATTCACGATATTCACACAGCCAATGTTGTTCACCATAAATCAATATATTCACAAAATCCGTTTAATTAAATGATCTAAAAAGGCTAATGGAGTTAACTATCATCTGATTAGAAAACTAACCCATAAATTTTCAGACAGATTAATTAACAAAGTCATAAAATTCGAAATGAGTTGAAGCAAAGAAGAACGAAACAAACAACAATAACATATCAACAAAATTAGCACAGAGAAATTATTGTTAATTATATGGGAGAAATTGATCATATATAAATAATTGAACTGAAAAATTATTGTAGTATTTTCCAGCAATCTCCTGCTGTAAATTATGATGATCATTTTCACGTCTTTCACAATTGTAAAGATAAGTATCTATTGTGAATGAAGACGAGCAGAAGCAAATCACGCAAAAATGTCAAAAAAAAATTATGAATATGAGAGTAGATAGTTTTTTTTTCTTCACCTTAAGTATATAAAGTGAGAGTATATCATGGTGTAGATAAGGATCTCATAAAAAATAATGACAACAACTATTAAAACTCTTATCAACCACACTAACCTGCACCTTTTTTTATAGATGACATATTCTATGAGGCGGATGAATTGCATTCAAAGAATGAGCAAAAATATAGTCAAACTTTTGATTAATAGAAAAAATTGAGAATTGCCCTTCGAATAATCACTTCTCTACAGCAATTTGTCATAGCATTGAAGTCATGATTTCAATTCGATAAGAATAAGGTAGAAGAAGGCAAAGAACCCTCTTTAGTGCCTCTTTTAAAACAATTTTGCACGTGAAATTGAAGAGACGGAGGGAAGAAACGAACAGCCACAATTGGAGTTTAAAAAGGCTGAATACGAACCGTTTTACATAAATATGTTAAATGAAACCAACTGAGCATTAAAATTAATTTAGTATGAGGTGTATCAAAGGGGTATTAAATTGCATAATTATTATATATTTTTATATTTATTAATTATTTATAATATAATGAAGGAACATGATAATTTTAAAAGAGATAAAACGAATGACCAAGATTTAATATGTAACAAAATTCAAGCGATTTTTATAATAGTAGTATATATTTGATGTCATATAGAACTTTGATTAATTCATTTTATGAACTATAAAAAATATTTTGGAGATCTTACACTTCATTTGGATAATATTTTTACTGCTTTCTAAAGTAATATTTAAATATAATTTTTTTAATTAATTTTTTTTTATTAAAAAAATAATAAAAAATTGTCTCAAACAAACCGTAGTATCATTCTATTTATCTTGAAATATCTTATAATTAATTCTAGCTTTATTTGTTACCATTATAAATACATTCTCTAGAAGGGAAAGGCATGGCATCCACAACCTAAAAAAAAACAGATAGGGAAAAGAATTCTTTCAAATAAAAATCCATTGATTAACCGCCGCATAAGCAACTATAATAAATCTCAAAAATTTTTACTAAAAAATTTCTTTAAAAAACAGAAAAAAAAAAATCATCCCAAACAAAACATAATAGATTATTTACATGAAATTCATACAATCATGAATGTAAAAGCTTGCTACTACTAATATAACAAACAAGAAAAAAAAAAATTAAACTCTTAAGCCAAATCATTCTGAGGCCAATCCATCACCATTCAAAAAGTTGCAAGACAAAGCAAAAAAAAAAACAAAGGAATAAATAAACTGAAAACAATCACCTGTTGCTATCTCTCAACTCAAATTTGATCTTCTTTCTGCAGACAAACCAGAATTGGTCTTGGTGGAACTCTCATAATATCCAGACTGAATCATATTGGGATCACTCAGCACATCCTGCAAGAAAACCTGACTGTTCAGAGGCGAGCTATTCGCGCTCCTCAGCATCACACAGTTGTGCATATTATCTTCCCCAAGCGATCTCAACCTCTCCAGCTCGGGAAGCACGACAGTCCCGAGATCCGGCCGATCCTTCCTCCTCAACTCCGAGCATTTCAAAGCCATTTCTGCAAACTTCACCGTCTCCTCCACCGGCCAATCCGCGATGCTCGGATCCAAGAGCTCCTCGAAAGTCCCCTTCTCCAAGGCTCGGCTGACATGATGGGTGAGTCCCATGGCGGGTTTGGCGGTGATGATCTGAAGAAGCATGATTCCGAGGGAGTAGATGTCGGATTTGACGCCGAGCATTCCGGTTTGCTGGTATTCGGGATCGATGTAGCAGAAGGTGCCGGCGGTGGAAGTCATTCGGTATTGGGTGACGGTGTTGGCGACGGACGGGGGGACTAAGCGGGCGAGGCCGACGTCGCTGATTTTGCTTACGAAGTTGCGATCGAGGAGGATGTTGCCGGGTTTTAGGTCACGGTGGACGAGGGGTTCGGGTTTGGTTTGGTGGAGGAAGAGGAGGCCGGTGGCGATCTCGGCGGCGATGCGGAATCGGTGTTGCCAGGGGATGGGAGGGGTGTTGTTCCGGCGGAAAAGGCGGTCGTCTAAGCTTCCGTTGGCCATGTATTCGTAGACGAGGCAGCCATATTCAGGGCAGGCGCCGAGAAGTAGGACCATATTTGGATGCCGAATGCAGCTCAGAACTTCAACCTGAGGGAGAATTTGATTAGAGCAGAGAGAAATGGTTAGGTTGTTTTTGTTTGCAGGTTGTTTTTGCGATGGATTATAGAAAGTATCATATCATAATTTTGATTTATTTGAAACATAAATTGTAGAAATTCTTGGTCCAGCAAAACAGTGTGAGGGTATTGGTTTGATCTCATATTCTAGGAAAAATAATTACATCGAGAGTTTTTTTTTTATGTTGGTGAAAGTGCAAGATAATGATGATATGAAGAGGTGCACTGTTGAGATGTTTGGATTTGATTAATGTGTATAAACCTAAATTTAATCCCTTTAGTTCCCCTCTCCAACGAGAGATTATTCTGGGCGGACATCGGACATAGCTTATCGTCCAGAGGTGAATCAGGTACAGCCACGTCATCGAGTACCGAGCCGCGGTACCAAGTGGAGGTGACGTGATGCATTTTCATTGAGCTCTGGAAGACGTTCGGCATCCGCACAGAATAATTCATCCTCTCCAACACCATAATTTGATGATCATATACAAGAAATTTGTTACAACTCATCCAATTGTGGCAATAGTGCCAATTTTTTTTCCTGCAACAGATGAAAGAAGAGACCAAGTATCATAATTTTTTAGATTTAAATACTTTTCATAACTGAATCATTTCCCAAGTTCTGGCAGTTTGAATTACCCACTATTCAAGTCCTTTCAAAGTAAAAAAGAGGAAAAGTTGCAGGCTTGTTCATGAAGTATGAAAAAGAAGCAAGCAAATTAAAAGAGACGAGTAAAGTTTTGTACCTCCTGTTGAAACTGTGTTCTTCCTTGAGCAGCATCGGGCCTGAGTACCTTAACAGCAACAGGTGTGTGATCTAAAAAACATTTATACACAGGACCATAACCACCCTCACCAATCTTAAGATTCTCAGCAAAGTAGTTTGTAGCCTTTTCAATCTCCTCTATCGTGTATCTTCGGTACCTAACAGTAGGAGAAAAAGTATCCATTGCCTTCCTCTCCTCTGCTTCTCTTAAGGCCTGCATCTCTGCATATCTTCTCTTCTGAGCTTCCAACTCTGCTATCCTCTGCTGCGCCTGAGCAGCTTCCAGGGCTGCTTTGCACTTTGCCTTCTCTCTCTCTACAAGCGCCATGGCCGATTCCTCGGCAAGCCGGGCTTCTTCCAGCTTATGCTCTTCTTCCATCTTCCATCGGTGGAGCTCAAGAGCCTAGAAGAAGAGGTTGTCAGGAGGGGCAATGCTGACTTGTAAATAGACTGTGTTAGAGAACATTTTACCTTCTGCTTTGAGATAAGTGCTTCTTTGCAGGCAGCATTGTACATGTCCATAGTTTGCCTGAGCTCCAGCCTCAGTCTCTTCATCTCAGTCTCTACATCATCCTGCAAGTGAGTGAACCTTTTAGCTTTTATATTAGACATGCTAGTTAAGTTTGAATCTTAACTCATTTAGATTTTCCAAGGCATAAGTTTGTTCACATGGATTTCCAACCAAGCTATCAGATAAGCCAACCAATTGCCTACTTGTAACGCCCATCATGGTAGAAGAAACAAAAAGGAGCTTAAAGTATATCACTAAGGTTTCGTTTCGGATAGCTTTCGTACTGCTTCCTAAAACGGCTTTTTAGTATAAAACTTTCTAATACAATAAATTTTTTACTAGAAAACTGTTTTAGAAAGCAACAAGAAAGCTGCTCCAAACGAAGCCTAAGTATATATATATTCTAATATGAGTGAGCTTATGTAAAGCAATTAAGAAGGAGATCTACATTCTAATCTCTTTATTTGAAGTCACCAGAGACAGAAAGATCGAGAGTCCTCAACAAGAATGAAAATTAAGTGTAGATACCATGGTTTGAGATGACCAAGAGTTTGAACTACTGGCCCCGGAACCAGAAGAGAACTCATTCCCGAACGAGTATGAATCAACGGAGCGAATTGGTGTGCGAGCTGACTCAAAACTATGATCATGGCCATCTGAAGCATTGGAATGCCTTGGTTGAAATGATCTATCAATGCTCGGCCTCCCTGAGCTCACAAAAGATATGTCAGTATCATTATATAACAGATCTGCATTGGATTTCACTCGGTTTCCCCTTGTGAATGGTGACCTGCAAAAAGGATGGCCAAAGAAAAAAAATTCTGTATTAGCATCACTTGAATAGATGGACAAATAATTATTCTTTTCAAACAAAAATAATGGACACTCTTCCAAACTTAATTTGTCTGCCTTCAAAAATGAGATTTTTTTTTTTTTTTTCTTTTGAGAGAGTACAGAAATACTAATAATTTTAATGTCTGAATGGCCAACATTCTTGCTGTGGAAAATTGTCAGAGGTTCTAAAAAACAAACAGTTCCAAAAGAATTGACAAATGATTTTAGAAAATAAAATATAATAGGAATTGTACAAATGATTTTAGAGAATAAAAAACAGTTCCAAAAGAATTCAAGTGATGATATGATGAGCTACTTGCATGTTCTGCATAATTTTCTAATCATGATCAAGTCATGAATGTTTCCCAAGAATGCTAATATTTAAGTAAGGATTCGATTCATCATAACCAAACAGCTCACTCTATGTTGCCTACTTTAGTCTAAAATAGCTATTCTTCTGATTTTCTAAAATAGCATGCCAGCATCTTCTTTCAAATCTTTTCTTGATCTTTATTATTTAGAAAGTCCTTTTATCAAATTCAAATTTTACAAGGAGACAAAAAACATTGAAAACAATATGACAGCATGAATGAATCACAGATTATTCATAGCACAGACTCACTTGATTGATTCATCATGCAAGTTGTGAGGGCTGTGAGCTCTAGATGTAATTTCACCTGAGGAAAATGGAAACATTTTAATGCTATAGTAAGCAAAAGAAAGAAAAATCATTTATTTGTTCAGAACCCAACCTTTTGTTCCCAACAAATGGTGTGGCTCTCCAGTATCAGGCTTGAAGCTGGCCTGGCTCTGTATCTGAGCTCGCAGAGGAGACATCACCGGAGCTGGTCTCACAGCATTTCTAGTTGAAAGCAACTTTCCCTTAGAGATAACATAAACCGTGCAGAAGTCTGGTGCTCCCTTAGAGACGTGTGATGCGACATCTGCGCTCTTAAATCTTCTAAGAAAAAGGATTCCGAGTTAAACCTTTTGAAAGTGTCTTGAGCTTCTAGGTAAAACTATAGATTTTTACTAGTGTTTCATTTTAAATATATGATTTTAGTGTTTATACCATGCCAATCTTTAATACTGTTGGCATATCACCCTAGTAGTAACTCGCATGAATATGACACCTTAGTTGGTTTTAATCTAAAATAACTACTCTATTAAAGTTCTTGAAGATAACCCCTTTGCTTTTTCAGCTTAATTACATAAAGTAACCTCTCTACAATCATCCCTACCCCACAATCCAGAATTCCATATTAAGGCTCTGTTTGGAACGGCTTTTTTATTGCTTCTTAAAGCAATTTTTTAGTACAAAAATTTAAATGTTTGTAATAAAAAGTTTCTTTAAGAAGTAGTACGAAAGCCGTCCCAAACGAAGCCTAAATCAGATCCCGGTTTTGATTGGGTTGGGTTAATTGGATTGGGCAGATTCGAACTTGAGCCCTGATGTAGGTATTGGGCTAGTTATCTCATAAAGTTGAAGTTTTATATGAAGGTTCACTAAATGATAATTATATAGATCATAGTGATTTCCTAGGAAACCTATATTTTTAGAATGATACATTACACAAGTTAAATTTCATTTAATACAAAGTTAAGGGAAGTCACATTAAGAACAAAATATCACCTAATAAATCCTCCTTTAGATGGAGTTCCAACAACAAGCTTCTCAATTGCAGCTTGAGACACAAATTCTACAATTGCCTTTGCCACATCTGTGTCTTCAAGCACCACATCCTTGCAATGTATCTGGAGTTTTGTGTGCATTTTGCATCAAATAATGTCAATGAACAGATAATTTGAATCTTTAAACTAAGGTTAGTTAAATATGTTCCACAGTCCAAATCTGTAGGAGGTTACTCACATCTTTCCTCGTGCAGAAACAACGAAATGGGAGGAATAGTTCCTTCATTTGAGGATCCACAGCGCCTTTGTAGCCATCGGATGGATCGTTTTGCTGTGAAGCTGCAATGAAGAATATCGACAAAGAGTTATATTGATTTCTTTTTAAATTGACATTTCGATTCTGGACCTCTGAATATAACTAGCCATTTGTTTAGTTCATAGGTCCATTACTTTTATCATAAACAAATTTTCTCACCAGGATCATGACAAATTATGCATCAAAATAAATTTTATTATCATTAAATTTATTTAAAAGTAGTGCAATATTAAAATATATGATTAATCAATTACAATTTATTTTATATTCATCTCAAAATAAATCTAATAACAATAAAATTCATCTAAGCCAAATTTGAGTACATACAACCCTTTTTTTTTTTTTTTTTGTAAAATCACTTAGAAAGTTCTCATAAAAAATAAACCGCTGACACTAACATTACACACAAACGATACACAAGATTTCACACATTACATTTTACATTTAAATAACTAAATGAAAACTGATATATATTTTCCCAAGAAAAGTAACCAAATGATCCAAAAAACCAATATCATTATCATTTACCAAAAGATCGAAATCGAATACTGAAAGAAATTAAATAATCAAAACCTGAAGCCTGAATGTTAACATGGACTAAGGTGAGAGTCTGGCCCTTGGCGACGAGGTTATCAACCGCCCATTTCAGAGCATTCTGGCTGCTTTTATCCTTGCTAATGGCCACAGCTACCAACGGATATGCGGCGATGGCGTCGTGATCCTTCATCTTTCTCCTCTTCCTCGATTATTTCCTGTAAATAATCTGTATCGTTGCCTTTTCCAAGAGACGAAGAAGAGGGACGAAGAGGAAGAAGGAGCAATGAAGTCTTTATGGTAGTTATCCAGCTTCTTTCTCTCGATCTTCGCCATCTGAGGTTCCCCTTCATTGTCGGATAGGTTTCTCGCTTCGTTTCTCTGCCGCTGATCGAAGATTAGGGCTTCGGTTTTTTTACCTATTTTTGAATCGGGGTGGTTTTCGGTTTATATATGCCCTATGAAATTTAACCCGCCATAAGAACGCTGTTCGTCGGTTGCGTGGAAAACTATATAGAAGTCAATATTTTATATAAATATTTTTGAAAATTAATAAAAAAATCTCAAAGCTAATATTATATTAATTATTTATGCATTACATTTATTCTAAAGTAGGGGTTTTTTTATTTCTAGGGACAAAAATGCAAAATAAAGAATGTAGGGAAAATCAAATTTGAATGTTTAATTTGTTGAAAAAAGAATACAGCTTAAAATTTTAGTGAATTCTTTTTTTTTTTCCTTTATGGTTCATTTTTTATGTATTGTAAATTGATTTAATTTTAGTCAAATTCATTTTTTTCGACAAGCTGACTATATTGATGCTGGCAATTGTCGTTGCCCTCCGCCCACCTCTGCTCTTGCTCTTATGGCAGACCGCCATTATCATTTGACTTTACATCACTTTTCCTACCACCCGCTGGGAAATCTCTCGTGTACTCTTCCTCTCTGTGTGGTAGGAAGAGCACGCAATTTGCGGGATTAGGGATTTATGCGGATGGAGTGAGCTTCTGAGAGACGGAGTGGTATTTTTAGTGTTAAATTTATGTTTGGTTGATAGAAATGAAATATTTAAGTTTTAGATATTGAATATGTAATATAGACGTTATATAAGAGTAAGTATGTAAATCCCTCATTAATTTATTATTTTTATCTCTTAATACCAATATCAATTCTTTATCTTCAAATAGGAAGAAATTATTAACCTTGGAACCCATGCAACTATTATTTTCTATTTATTCAAATTTTAGCCTATTTATTAATATGCAAAATTAATTTACTTTTTTAACCTAAATTGTTGATAATGGCCTATATTTGTTCATATTCATGATCTTGATCACTCGTATTTATGAGAAATTTATTTCAACCTAAAATGTTCACTATATTCAATTAATTTTATTAATTAAGAATTTGCATATTTATGATGCCATTAATTGCTTAATTAAAAAATGGTATAATTATAATATTGTATTTATTCCTTAATTATGCATTTTATGCGTTGGAGAATTTAACTAAACTTAGATGTGTTTTTGAATTATTTAAAATTGTCAAAAGTTGCTTAATTTGGCTAATCATATTAATTATGTGCTTATTAAGTGATTAATAACATAACTAAACTATAAAGTCAAAGCTTGGGATTAATTTTATCACCCTTGAATCCTAAACACATTTTTTCTAGTCAAAATCATATATAATATGAATATATTCATACTGGCTAATGAATATTATGTAAATAAATATAAATATTTAAATGTTGAGAATGTTTTTATTTTTTATTTTTTTATTTTTATTTTTTGTTTTTATGTTGAGAATGTAAATACATAAAAAAAGTATTTAAATATATAGTTCTCCTGTCTCAATCATCCAATTCAATTTCAATGATAAAGTGGTATTATAGAGTGCTTGATTTTAAGAAATCTTATTGTATTATGCAAGTGAAAAATAGCTATAAGAATGATGAAAAATCTCTTAACTTTATTCAATAAAAAATTAAGAGGATGATGAGGCATCATAATATGAGTGGATTAATAGTCAATGAATTAACTACATAATTTATGATCTTTTTTTTTAAGTTTGGAACCAACAATGCAAGATAGAAGTCAAAATTAGTGGATCAAATTGAGATTTATTTTATTGTATCCCTACTTGACGTATAAGCGGATCAAATTGGTACTTATCTTAGTCTATATATGTGTGTGTGTGTGTTTGTTTTATTTTTTTGCAAGAGAATGCCTCATCACTTATCTTAAATACATCGAACATGAGTTTATATGATGAACACTCATTTTAGGCATAGGTGATATGATATGTTTCATAAGAGAAATAATAATTCTACCCTATAGGATATGAAGAAGAGTGATACAGGAAGTATTATGTGTAATACTGTAATATGAAGACAAAATCATGTAAGAATACAATACAAAATTTAGGAGATAATCCTTAATGATTTTCATGCCATTGGAAGACATCACTATTAAAAAAAAAAAACATATAATATATGATCTCGGGACACAATAGAGGAAAAATTTTAAACGTTCCACACGGAAGTATTCATAGAGAAGTTTAAGAAGGTTGTTGATATGTTATTTAGATCAATTCAAAGCAAATATTGACATCAATAAATCAATGAGAAACAAGCTTTTCCTTTGATGGCAATGCTAAATGAGGAATTGTTAACCTTGTGAATGCAAGCCAACCAAAAATTGGCCAACACTATCTTCATCACCAAAACTCAAAACAACTTGAACTTAGCAAGCTTAATCAAGAGGTTGGGCTTTGATGACTCATAACATGCATTATTATCCTCTTTCAAGGATTTTTTGGAAAGGCACATAAATGTGAATTTATTAATATTACTATATTCACTTCATCATTACTTTGCAATACATCAATGATATGCATAAAGTGATGAATCTATATACTTACTAGATTATCATTGAAATATCATGTATGTGGGAATTGGGATCAACAGAATATTCTCTTAGATATGCTCAATAACAAAGTTGTAAAAATTGAATTAGAGATAGAACTGAAAGGAAGAAAGGTTAGAAGTTCAATGGTTCGAGTGGGGTGGAACCATAGTCGAACAAAATTACATAATAAATATTAAAAGTGTTTAAATGATGTTAAATTATAAGATAATGATGTAATAATTATGAAAATTAAAATTTAAATTAAAATTTAAATATTTATTTATTTAGTTTATATATTTAAATATAAATAATTTCTAATTTTAAATCAAATGTAAATAGCTAGATATTTGCAATCTTTGGTTTTAATTCACATTTAATAAATTATACATAATATGTGTATTGACGACGTGACAGTCTTTCATTAGAGTCCAAATGCGAGACTTAACACAATAATTTTTCCATAAACACACTTACACAATGTCAGATCGTTCCTCGACGTTGATTATATTTATCTTTATAATACTCTATAATGAAAATAACTTGTACCTATATATAATTATAATTATAGATAAATTGCTTTATTTTTATAAAAAAAAAAACTTATATACTGCAAACAATAATAATTATTTCATCATCTATTCATCTCTATATTAAAACATAGTTTGTGGTACATAAAGCATATAATACAGATAATACACAGTAATAATCCCTTATTACTTCAGTCTTCCATATCATCTATATGTCTGTGAACAACTGGGCTTCCGCTGCAGGTTTTCATCACAACAGCAACAGCAACAGCAACAGCAACAGCAACAGTAAATTTATCTGAAAAGGTGTTACTATATCAAGCAAAGCAACTAAGAAAAAGAAAAAGTACTTGTTATAATAGAAAAGGAATAAAGTAAAAAGGTAGTGAAATGAACATGAGTAGTGAGTAAAGTAGGAGAGATTAGTCTCTGCGGTGTGCGGACTTCGGATGGGAAGAACCGTCCGGTTTTGTTTCTGTGAATATTAAAAGCACATGTTCACATAGACAAACCAGACGATTCTTTCCTTCTAGTGTCCGCATGGAATAATTCATCGCGGAGTAGGTCGTGTCCTCCAGTTAAGGCGATCCCATCACTACATCTCCACCGCTGATGATAAACATTCTGCTCTGCTGCATGGATCATCGTTGGAAGCCACTCATGAACTGAAACCTGCACTTCATCTTCTTGTTCATATTTTCTTCATCCATCTCTCCGGCTAAAGCCATTTTTTTCTTCTTCCCCAAATCCGAGAGTGCGATGGCAGAAGACCTTCGAACCAGCCCATTCGATCTCATGGATTTGGGGATTCCAAATAGCCATCATCTCTACGTTGCGTCTCAAACACTCGAACAGCCACAACCCCAGGACCCACCGAAAGACGAGTAGGCGAGTATACGGATCCTCGTGTCTTTTATAGTAGGATTAGGGTAAGGATTGTAGTTGGCGGAGGAATATTAGGCTGAGTGTAGATGAGCAGCCGCACTCGGCCTACTATTCTTCCACCAACCTCAGTCCTTACCCGTATCCAATTATAAGGCACGAAGATCCATATTCATCTACTCTCATATTTGCCTACTGCATCGCCCAGGCTGCAGAGTAGTATGCTGTGGAAAGTGGATTGGACAGTCTAGCTATGCCATATGGTGCTTATCAGCCGCATCAGCACACTGCGCCGTACGCTTATGCGCAGGCCGTAGCAGCAGCTTCATTGCAACAAGCTATAAGCATTGCCCCGTAATATGGTCAAAATGTAACTGGAGTATTGTTTTGGGTAAATGGTCGTTCTCTTTGTTTTCGCTTTATTGGGGTATCTTCTTCTTGATGCGGACATCCGATCATGAAGATTTTCAGAGGAGACGATGATCGACGGCCGAGATCATTCCACATTATCTTAATTTGTTAATTGTATTTTTTATTTTTATTATGAATTTTTCTTTTTTATCCTTACTTAAGAGGGTCATCCTATGTAAGCCCTAGGGGAATATGTCTTGTTTTAGTTTCTTAGACCTATATATAGAGGCATTTGCTTGTGTAATGTAATGAGGAATTACTAAGAAAAAAAATTTTGTTTGCACTTGTGTTCTTTGGAGAGAACTTGAGTGAGATTCCTATGGGAGGGAATCGAAGTTTCCACCAGCCGCAGGATGGGTTTGGGCTCGTGGCTTGAAGTCACTCGGAGAAGGGCAACGTATTACCCGTCAGCTGCAGGATGTTTCTAGGCTTACGGTTGTATCTTTCTTTCCCTAAATCCTTTTCTCCTCCTCCCTTGACCGCCGACCAAAATCCCCCACTTGCCACCGGCCGATTCTCCCACAAACCCCTCCACAGCCACAAGCCTCCTCAAATTTATCCATATCAACCGCCGGCCATAAACAACTCCACCACCACCTCCTAGTCGGCCACCCCATCTCCTCCCATCCTTCTAGCCGCCGGCCACCCCATCCCTTTTTTCATCTTAATGATGATTTCAATCATCATTAATACCTACCAAAATTAGCCTACCTAATTTGGGATAAGAATTAAATATATTTGAAATTCAAATTTGAATTCCAAATACTTTCCTAAAATTAACTAAGCTAAATTAGAAAAGTTCCTAAATTTAAGTCTAATTTGATTTTAAATTAGATTTGATTTAATTACCCTTTTCCTAATTTAGAATCATGATTTAGGTTGTTTTAAATTCCCTCCCAATTCCCCTCTCCCCATTAATTACACCCATTATATCCTTCCTCAACCGCCGGCCTCCCTCTTACTTCTCATTAGATCCCAAATTAGATCCCCATTAGTTATTTCCTTATTTAGCCTCTTGTTATTTGGAAAGAATTTGAATTCAAAATCAAAATAATTTGAATTCCAAAAGCTTTCTAATTAAACCAATTCTCATTTAGGAAACCCTTCAAATCTCTCAAATATGAAATTAATTTCAGATTTAATTACCCCATCACATTTAATGCCATGATCCACATACATTGTATGTGGACATTTTTCCTCCCTCCCCATATGGTCGACCCCATCTCTCTCTTATTTTAATTATTACCTTCCTTATCAAGGAATCAAATTAGGGGAATAATTAATCACCTATTTATTCTTCCCTCCATTTTATTTGAATTTCAAATTCATATCCCTTAATTAAGGAAAATCTGAAATTGAATTTCAGATATTTAAATTTTTATTACCCCCTTCATTCTACATCACTTCTCTATCATAATTGTCATTATTTTGTGCTAAAGAATATAATTTAGGTTAAGTTTCCATTGATATGCTTTGAAGCATCGGATAATAATTAATATCACAGCAATTAGCTATTCTAAGGCTTCGTTTGGGACGGCTTTTTTATTGCTTTCTAAAACGGAGTTTTAGTATAAAAATAAAAAAATTTGTAATAAAACTCCGTTTTAGAAAGCAGTAAAAAAGTCGTCCCAAACGAAACCTAAGTGTCATATTTATTGAATTTTTGCCTCATTACAAAGCATCTTTTCTAGAATGCTACTTTGAAAATGAGAAAAAGTTCCATAATTCTTTTTTCTTTGGGTGTGATGGTGCCCATTTTTTTAGGATGTTAATGTGGAAGGGGGCCATCAGATTAAACTCACTCTCAACTTCTAGAGTACTTTTTTTGGTGTCATTTTCATTTAATAAATACAACTTTCTTGCTCTTCATGCAAAACAAACGTATTTACGTTTCTAAAAGTTTTTTGCATCTTTTTTCCCCTAAATAGCTGTAGCAATTGCGTTTTTGAAACTTCCTAGTAATTTGGTATCATTTCCTTTCCATTGCAGCATCACCATTTGTTCCAGTTCATTGTGCAGACATTTGAAGGCTCTCCTCATCTAGATTTTTTTTTTTTGGAACGGGATATTCACCTGCTGCCACCCCCGAAAGAATGCTTGGTTGCGTGACTAATCCTTGGCTGACCTAGAAGAGGCAACCATCTCAAAAATCTCCTGACCCGCACTTGATTGAGCCCCACTTAAGAGGCGCTGCCGCTCGAGTGGAATCTGGCACAGGTTGGGGAGTTCCCAACCGTACTCACCCACCGGTCTAGATATATTATAGAAACCAGCCATTGAGAAAGAACACTGGAAACAGTTGTTAGTCCGTTTCATCTTCAGCGTTACACATTGCATAAAATCCATGAATAACTTGTTGGTTGCTATCTTGCTACACAAGCACTAATACCCCCTAAGGTTAATTTTAATCTTTATTAAGGATATTATAGCCCCATAAAACTGAGAGAAATCAAAGGCTCGACTTCAGCCATCCGATCATTCATCATAAATAAGAAATATTCCAAGTATAATCATATTGAGTTAAAACATAACACTTCATGCCCTTTAATGCAATAATATGACAATAACCTAGATCACCTTTGTAACTCATATCCAACCTAAGCACACTAAGGCACCAAAATCCCAAAGGATTGACCATCTTACAATCTTAATAAGCCTAAAGTAGATCTACTAAAATTGAAAATTTACTTGACAATATAGACCCAGATGATCATATCCTAAAGTCTTTCGATCTACTTGTACTTGAATTTGTTTTGAAACATTTTCCTGTAACTAAGAAGCTAGCCATTTTCTTCTTCCCTAAAACATGACGCTCCATGCCAAATAAAAACAAAATTGAAGCAACTGTACTTGAAGTTGTACCCTACAACAAATAGAGCCCTATCAACTCCATCCACCTTAAGGATCTTAGCATGTTCACAAACTTATGCAATGTATCACTAAGAGCATTTAAATATACATCCGATCATATGCATATCTAACTCCAGCCAATGATCTGGTCGCACTATTATGTGCCTCAAACTGACACTATTAAAAACAAAAATCCTAAATGCAAAGTTGTGTCCCCGTACAGACATAACATCACATGACTCATAAGTGAATAACATGGCCTTGCTAAGAAATATAAGACATGACAAGACGAGTCAACTATCTACTAATCATTGCATCTAAGGGATTGTTTGGTTGCCTCCAAAAAGAGTGTAAATTATTTAAAACGAAGCGGTTTTAAAAACATTGGCGTTTGATTTGAAGTAAAATAAATGCAGTGTAAAATTTTGATGCATTTGGAATTCATCATCTAGTTCATTTTTTGTGCATTTGGAATTCCTCCAATTTGAATAAAATCCAAATACACTGAAAATTCATTGCAATTGCCGCCGCTAACCACCGCCATGTGCCGGCCGACCGCCGTCGGCTGCACTTCTTTCAATGTCGGACATCAACAACTATCTTTTTCCACTTGACATTGCATTAATTTTACTTCAAACCAAACCAAAAAATAATCTCATGCATTCTTTTTATGCTCATACAAACTCCAAAGTATTGCTTTTTACACTGAATTTCTTTTACATTGCATTCCTTTTTCAAACAACCAAACAACCCCTATGTCATGCAACCACTAAAAGAATATTGCGAGAATATGTGTATACCATTATATTACCTAACTAACGTTTCCCACTAAATGATTTCTCACTTGTTTGCTACTTCCTCTTAAATATAATGACAAACTCTCTTGATATACCTTAAATTCTTGTAGTAGAAATAACTCTTTTTCTTGTACTTGCCAACAGTGTTGCAACTACTATGACTAGTGGCATAACCCTTCTTAATTCCCATATCAAATTCCCTCCTTTTTTATTCTTTTACACCCTCAAGCTTAGAAATGATATATTTTGACACAAGGTAATTCTTCACATCCTCCAAGTTAAATATATCTCAAATACAATATGATATCACAAAATGCTTGTGAGAGGCGATGAAGAAAAAAATTATAATAAATATTGATCTTCTCATCAACAACCACATTAATAATATCCAACTCGCAAATAATGAAATTAAACTAATTCAGATGAGATTAATAGGTTTAATTAGCTCATATCAAGTAAATAGATTATCTAATTTTGAAGAAATTTGTTAAAAATATCTTTGGTTATGAATCAAGACTTAAATTTGAGTCATAACCTCTCCAAAATTATTTTCACTAATCTCATCTCTTAAGCATAATTGGATCATTCAAAGATAATTTCATCTAGCTTGGTCTCAGCGTCATCGCCCATTGTCAGACATATTCGAATACCCCCTGAGTGGGATCACAAAACCCTTGCAGATAAAAAAAGAATATGTATCTTAATTCTCTAAAGGCTAAAACTCTTCAACATTAAAATTTTCAATCTCAAACTTCATTGTAGGCATTGATCACTTATAATAAAAGAATATCTAACATAAAGCGGAAAAGCCTTCAATATAATGAATAACAAAGTAAACCACCCATCCTTAACAAATACTACATCCATTAGAAAGGAGTTGGGATCTAATCCGCTAGAAATCAAAGCCACAAATGTATAATAAAAAGGCACTCATCAGCCTTGCCAAAATCCGAGGACACAACTCTCAGCAAACAAAGCTATAACCATAAGAAAAAAAAATTGCTTACCTCACACAAATATAACAACAAAGTCCTATGACAAATCTAGTGAATAATTTCTCTAACAAGTCGCACATCACCAAAACAAAAGATATTTTTCTAACATGCATTCCAGAAATCATAGTTAAGAGGATATATCAAAGTTGTAAATCCGCCCAAAAACCATGGCCATTAGGACACAAAACCAAGGATGGAGATTCAAGAAAACTGAGACATGCCTTATTATGCATGTGGCTGAGTAGACTTTCGCACGAGGAACAATGCCTTAACAATTCATATATGACTATCACAAATCATGAGATTGTTCACTCGTGTAGATTAAGGCGTGATCATGATTCCCAAAAACCCATCATGTGAATCCCAAGGCCAACTCAAATTCGAGAAGTGATGCTGATCCCAAGAGAAATCCAAGGCTTAATTTCAACCATCCAATCATCACAAATAAGAAATATTTCAAACATATTAGATCCTACACAATGCTTCTTCATCTGCAATGCATTGTCTATTGTATCAAATAGGGACGTCATTAAATCAAAATATAACAAAAAAACTTAATAATTATACGTAAAAAAAGGAACCTTAGAATAAGTTAGCACTACATTGAAACTGGAAAATACTTGGATTTAGGCTTCTTTTGGGACGGCTTTCTTATTGCTTCTGAAAGCAACTTTTTAGTACAAAATTTTTTCTTTTTGTACTAAAAAGTTGCTTTACAACAAAGCCCTAATTTGAGTGTTCCTAAAGCAGTTACAATATTGAATAGAATAGATGAATCACAAAACATTATTTTAAAAGTAAGATTACTCCTACACTTGGCAGATTCTAACAAAAGGACCTTGAGTACTATTCGTTAAACATTAGTTAGCATGAATGAGGAATATAGTCCCTATGTACTAAACTAAGGATTCCGCAATTACACTCGCTCATACAGCAAAAAAAAAAAAACTCAAATTATTACAAACTCAAACGTAAGATCATTGAAGGTTGGTAATGCATCAATCAAACTAGCATAAACAGGCAAGTTTACATTATTAGAGCTAACGCAGAGGGAAGAATTACCTTCTTTATTAACACTGATGGTTATTTCCAAAAGTTCCTTTGTTTAGAAATCATGTCCTTCCGGGCAAGTTGTCACCCGTTGCTCCTAGGAGCAGCAGAGATCTGCTGTACAGCAGCCAATGGATTCACCTGAACAGAGAATGCAAGCTGCCAAGCATCGATCAAAGCCCTTTGTATGAATAAGATTTGTCTCCATGCAAACCTGTAAATTTGCATGGGAAAGAGAGTTCCTCAGGTTAAGAAATCTAAACAAATGTGCCGCTATATTTTGAAGAGAGTACTGCTTGCCCATCAGAAGAGTCCCAAAAACTTCCATAAGAGCATAAGACTCAGATAGCAGATACATAAGGAGCATAATATTGTTTTGAAAAGCATGCTACCATACCAAATTTCCTTCAATTAGGGAAGCCATGGGAGCCCTGGATCAGTTTCAGGTATCGTAAATGGGATAAGTGCTAATTTCTTATTAAAAATATCTTATTCAAGTTTTCCAATGAAACCAGTGCATCAAAACTAGGAATCATTCTAATCCACCCTTTAAAAAACACATCATGTTTGAAGCAATGACAAATCTGGCATTAACAAACAAAGTGGTTGCATGGGACATACTAAAAATCCTGCTAATTCACTGCTCAATTTTGACATCTAATGAAACCAAAGGAACTAAATCTAAAGAACTCATCCTCAATGCAAAATTCCAGTTGCCTCTTCATAGAAACTTCATATATACTGGTTTCACTAAGTTTAAAATGTAAATAAAGCAGAAGCAAAAAAAGAAATGAAGCAACTTACTTCCTGAGTTCTGAAGCTTTCCGCTGAAAAAAATAGGAAGCAAACGCCATAACTAGTCCAACTAGAATAATTCTTCCTCGGGGAAGGACAAGATGAATGCCACCTAACTTTACACGGACAGTAGAAAACCACCAAAATGGACTGCTTCGATGTGTTAAGAACTTAATTGATGGATTCATAACTTTTGAAGAAGCTACTTTTGATCCATGTCCATTCATATGGTTACTTGAGTTTGTGGATTTACCATGAACTTCAGCTTGGGAGGAAGTTTCACCAATTTCCTCTGCATTTTGAACAGTTGCTGGACTGATAGATGAACTGGAGTTTGCAGCAAGATAAATAGAGTGCAGTCTCCTCAGCATGTCCTGTAACATTGGGATTGAGCAAAATATTAGCAATGCATCATCTGCTTGCATATCCGAGGATAAGATCACAAGTAGAACATAGTCAAGACAATTTATGGAAGCAATGTCGTAGTTAAAATGTAAGAAAATCATGGAACCTTAAATAGGCATTTCCGTAAGCACATGAGCACACTCTTTAACAGAAATGGGTATGCAGGCTAGAAAATTCACGACGGTACAGTGAGATAATTTTGCATCCTGCATGAGGATCCAACACACAAATAATAAATAAAAAGAGCACGAATGATTTCAAAGTTCTTATATGAAAAATCTAAAAAGAAGAAAAACCACGGTGCCATGCCCCACTAAAATGATTCCACTATGTAAGTATTGATTACAAAGGTCTACTTCATCCCTTAATTTGGAAACAACAAGATTACAAAAGCATGAGGAGCTGACAAAAAATATCACAGAATCTGTATGGGGTGAAAGTCATTTAAATGGTTGTACCGCATGATAGTAATTCAACAATATTGGTGGGGTAGTGGCAACCCAATAATGGTGATTAGCAATGGCAATCCGATGGTGTCGACTCAGTGACAACGGTAGCCAAATGGCAGCAGTTAGATAGTGGCAATATGATGACAATAATCGGGCGGCGGCGATTCGATAATGGTGGTTAAGCAATAGTGATCCAACATTGGTGGTTAGTGATGGAAGTGGTTCGACGAGTGTGGTAGGGTGGTGGAAGCTGTTAAGTGCTGTTTTCCTGCTGTAAACAGCAGAAATCTGCTGTTTTCCTGCTGTGGACAGCCATTTGGCTGCTGTTGGTTCGCCGATTTTGGATAGGTTGCTTGTGAATACAAGCACTTCCTATCAGAAGCCTACAACGATGGTCGAGCAGCGAAGACTGACAGTGGTGAAGGCCTAACGTCGACAGTCGGGCAATGGTCTAATGGAGACTAATGAGAAGAGAAGGTTTGATGGTGGCAGTTGGGCAGTGGTCTGACTAAGGTGGTTAAGCGGTGATTCTACAGCAACAGATGGTCTATGGTACAACGACAGTGACTAGGAGGTGGTCCAATGACAGTGATGCTCTTGTATTCTTCAAGTCTTTCAACTATATAGAATCTCAAGCAAAGGGTCCTCATGTAGATAGTGAGGGCTCATTACAATTTTTTTTAAGTGGCATACCCTATACATATAGAGAAATTATGGAGCATTCCAATAGACAACCTGTATTTATTCTCTTAATCATAGAGCGCTCGCTCAACATTTTAAGCGCCTCAATATTATCATAATTAAGCAAATTTGGGTTTGTTAGATTTGTCTCGTCAAGATGCTAGATTTAACTAGAAGCGTGCCAAATTTGGATATTATTCGGTCCTCCAATTAATATTCCAAATTTTTCAACTATACTTCAAGCTCTTAATTTGGAATTATTTGTACGCGAATCGAATCATTTTTTATTTCATTAGGTTTGTCTCATCAAGCTAATCAGTTTGACTATAAGTTTTTGAATTTAAAGTTTGGAAGTTTTTGAATTTAATTCTACAAGTTTTCTATTCAAATGAGCATCGAGATTCGCACTTTGATCAAGCCAATTTTTGTTGACGTATGAGCATGTAAGTACATGTGTTTGTACATGCTCAATTGAAATTCTTACTTTGTTTTAAGCCTCCATGCCAATTTTTTCAGCACTTCTGTTTGTTCAAATTCACATTTTAATTTTATTTTAAACCCCTAATGCAACTGTCTTTCTAAAAGCAACAAAAAAGCAAAATTTATAAACAAATTAACCTTTTACTCTTCATTGAGCCAATAAACTATTTATACAAGTCTTCCTTGGTTTTGATCGGCGCCGAAGTTATGTTGTATGCATTTCCACTCAATTAACTTGCGCACATTTTGTTTATGAAAACTTTATTCATAATACTTGCCAATTATTAAAAATTTTAATACATACATGATCATACAAACCCTTATTGCTCAATCAAAACCAGATAAAAAAAGCCTATAAGATGATGATATGTTGGTGGCTAATCATAAATATAAGTCAAAACCTAATATAAATATGAATTTGATACTTGTTAGTGTGAAAGTGTGTCTATAAGAGACGCAACATGTGATAACCTGATTATGGTGATCAGTGGAAATAAGTTGATTGATGCGTCAGCCATAAATACACAACAACCTAATGGCGATGAGAAGTAACCAAGTGCAAACAAAATACTACTTGGAAGTAATATTTTATAACCTAATTATAAAAAGTTGTGTTTTTTTGAGGAAAAGATTGTAGGAAAAAATAGAATGTTTGGACATTTAATAATGATGGAAAGGCAAAAGGAAACTTCGTTAAATGTCATAAAAAATACATATATTAGAATATTTAACACATAGTTTAATAGAAATGAATGGAGGAGCATTGGTAATAAAGCAAAGTAGCAAAATTCGAAATTTTGAGCAAGGTACTAATAAGGATGACGATAACATAATTATTCGTAAAGCCTTCAGCTTTTTTTTCAAAGTTTTACTTTAAGTTTGTTTCCACATCATGGGATCCTTCAAAGAAAAATTTTTGGGCAAATAATTTCGAAGCACTAATCATGTAAAGTATTAATATGTATTTTGAACAATAAGCAAGTTATGAGCACAATAAAATAGAATTAGTTAGCTATGGATAAAATAAAAGGATGTATTGTGCATAATACAAAGAGACATTTGCTAAATTCATGGTAAATTCATGCCCTCAAGGAAAAAATAAAAAATTGAAAAAAAAAATCTCGTGTGAAATAAATAAATAAAAGCATAGAACAAATCCTTAAGATTTTAATGTCATCAATAGCATGATAATTTGATGTGGCTCATCGTAAGACATGCAGGCTATTCCAGGTTAAAACTGGCATAAGAGAATTTGGCGCAACCACCTAATTCAAAAACCTATACAAATAGGGAACACACAATCAATGCTCCATTACAAAGGTCCGATTACCCATATACCCACAGTTGCAGCAAATACACACAATTAATAGCTCACCTGTCAATCACTGTCAAATGTAGGTACATGTCTCAATTATCCACCATAGGTCGCAAGAGATATAATGATCAGCTCTAATATGAGAGTCATATATCATTCTATCTCTCTTGGAAGATGGATTGTACCTCCGAGCATTTGATATAATGATCAGCTCTAATACTATTGCCATAACATGACTTGCATACCAATTTATTTTGAAATCCTGATATACACTATTGATTAATTGCGGAAATTGAAACTAGAATGTGCATTGACCGCTTATTACAAAGAAAAAGCTATGATGCAACAGTTAATATAAGTGAATAATGCGTATGGCCAGATGTTATCAGATTTGAAAACAAATTAGAGCCCGAGTAAATATTATTAGCAAAGAGAAGATTGCAAGCTGCGGATGACAAGGGGAAGAAAGATGAGGATTAAAAAAATAAATACGGTCAGAGATTTAGCCCACAATGTTTAAGCATGATTTCAATTTTAAGTTCCATTGCGTATGGATGAATCCTGCGTACTCTCACCAGCTCAGGATATAACAACGTAAGGAATAACTAGGAAAAATATGATTTCTGAAACAATGCAAGAATTTAAGAGTGCTTTTCTTTCCTGCAAGATTCGAAGGTAGTAGAAATTCTCTAGTTAGTCCATATTATTAATTGGGTCACCAAGTCTAATTATGCGCTTAAATGGAGTCCAACACGATGAATCCATTAAAAAATCTCAAGATTTCTAAAATGCCTTCAACTTATAAGATAAACTAGAGGACCTAGTTGAAACAAGTTGCAGAGACAGTGAATGGAGCTCTACCCTGAATTTTCACAGCTCATCGTTTTCCAACAAACACACCGACGTTTCTTGGACCCTGCTGTAGCAAAAAAACAAGGCTTGTTTATAATAAAAACCACGATTCACTGTGGAGAAGTGTGTGCTCCGTCCATACTTCAAATGACTTCATATTAATGTTTTTTAAACATCTTTTGTTTTAGTTATTTTTAGGAAGAATTTTATGGCCGCCAAACGGTTTTACAAGCTTTCTTAGGAAGAAGTTACCAATTATGGAAGGATGGATTTTTTTAATGCTTCTCTCTCCAATTTTTTGTATTTCGAATATAAAGCTTATTTAAAATAATAACAGGAAATTTTATTCAAGATATAATACAATAGTTTGAAACCTTAAGATGATTTTTTGAGTAAGTGTGTGTGTATATATTTATATACATGAATTAATAGATATAAGTCAAGATGATAAGTTTTCATTTATTTAATAATATGAGATTTATATTTAATGAATCAGTAAATACTATAAATTACATGATGATCAATTTTAAAATAATATAACAGAAATTTAAGATTTGATTTCTTTTATTTGTTCATATTGATTTTGTTATAAATATAATACTTAACACTAAATTATTGAAGCTAGTGTTGTCACACAATGATATCTTCCTTTTTAAGGGACTGGGAATGCCTTGTTTTGAATCCTACCTCCAATAAAAGATAATGTTTTGCTATAGCGGAAAGGAGGGCATTTTTTGAACTTGAAATATCCAACTTTCATTTAAGGGATGCATGTATGATCATATGGTCCTACTTAAAGGGAAACTTTAACTGACGTTAAGCAGTTGGTGCCACTTTGAAGATCAAAAAATGAGTTGGAGGACCATAGTGGAATATGGAAAAAGTGCCAGGGATCCAATTATATTAAAAATGTGAAAAACTTGAAGCAACCTTTTAACCTCGAGGACCCATGCCTAATTTACCGTAGTTTCTTTACTAGCAAACAGACGCAATTTGTGCTGATTTTTAACTAAGCTTTCTTATGCATCTTTGAAAAGAAAAAAATCAAACACAGAAGCAACCTGCAAAGGGAAACTTCAGAAATGAAGCCTAATAGTGGACAACCATCTTACCTGACGCTTATCTTCAGGCAAATCTGATATCTCTATCCAAGAAATGGCGAGTTCAGGCTGGCCTAAAACCCTGCCAAGGAGAACCATGGCAAATAATTCAGCAACTTCTAAATACTTTTCTGAATCCAGAGCCGATTGCCATGGACATTTAGAAAAACTTTGGTCTTCTTTAGGAAATACATAATGATCGTTATCCACATATCTCCACTTTTTAAAGAACTCTTCAAATATTATTGTAAGATTTGTAGTTGTTCCTTCAGATATTTGCATGCAGGTCCTGTAGAGTACTGAAAATAATTAAATACATGGATAAAATAGGAATTATATCAAAAGCTATTTAAACAAGAAAAATCTTAAGATGCGATGAAATGCTTGTACAATTGGTAAGTAGGCCATATGTAAGTGCAAATTGAAATTACCCCGTCAGAAATACTTGAATTGGTATTGCTTCCACTGAACCAAATAGTACTTTAAGCTTAGCAAACATTTCTGCTGTCCTGATGCCCGCCAAAATAGAATGCAGATTGCCAAAAAAAGAAAGGTTCAGCATAATATTTCAAGGAATAAAGTGATTTTGAAAAAAAAAAAAACTAAGTTTACGTAAAAAATAAAAGAAATTAAATTCAAAGATGAATTCTACTAAATTTAGTCATAAAAAATTACTATCAACTAAAAGAGAACACATCATTTAGATCAACTCGAATCATATATTTATAGTTCATTGTTCCTAAGTACAAAAAGGTTTGGTCATGCATTAGTTTCATTTGTAGTATATCTGATATGAATGGTCTGTTTACAGTCAGGTATTAGCCTCATTCGGAGCAAAATTAGTATGAGTAGTTTGTTTACATTTTTACTCATCTTTCAATTATGCAATTCCATCTCTTATTCATGTACCAATATAGTCTGAATAGCACCCCTTTGCAGATAATAAATAGCGTTTTCTCATATTCCTGCAGTTTAACAAGCTTAAAATCACAACAATGCATTAACAACTCACTGGTTCTAACTTCATTATATTTGATGACTTAACATTAAGTGCATGGTTCATGGATATTGTCTTAACTTAAAAGAGTAGGATTGACAAGCTTCATTAGCAGAATCACATTGCAATGATGCACTTCCTGTAACCAAAAAATATTCAACTAAGATCACGAATAAAGTTTTTTAAGCTAATCCACCAACAAAGTACAAAAACTTTGACAAGCTCTTCTAAATAAATCCTCGAGATCAACTTTTTTAAGTAAAAGAACAAATTACATTGATCGTTTCATATCTAGATAAAATGATGAACATACCTTCCCAATTCTCTCAATGACTGAACAAACACCATTCCAGCTGATTCCATCATTCCAGACAATTCAATCTCAGGTATTGGTTCAAAGGAAGTCCTCAAATTTTGAATTTGAGACGAAGCAAGGGAACAAGCTTCATTAAAAAGGCCACAGACCATATACCTATTTTCAAAAGAATAAAAAAATAAGTAATGTTCTTCAGGTCTCTGAAGTTTAATTGACAAATTGAATATTATGTTCAAGGAAATCATGTAGGAAACTGGTGGATGCAGAGAATGCATAAAACACATTAACAATATCAGTAATAAGTATTGAAATATTAAGTAATGTTGTTCAGGTCCCTGAAGGAGAGTTGAAATTTTTTAATATTATCTTCAAAGGAAATCAATGAAGTCAACTGGAGAATGCCAAAAATGTATAAATCGAAACACAGAAACAAGAAACCATAAGTTTTGAGCCATATAAGCCTAAGAAAATCAAAGCTAGATTAAAAGCAAAAATGGATGCCAGTCTATACTAATATTTAAAATGTGAATTCTGATTCTCCAAATATTCATTATGGCAGAAACAGAAACATTTGGAGGTCACAATTCACATTTTAATTTTTTTAAAAAAAATCCTGTGACCTTTTTTGGCCCTATTGCCTGGGGCTTTCATTTTTCTGCTTAGACCCAACATTTTTAATTATATCAATGGGCGCTCTCTATTCTCTAAGGCTTCAAAAAATTTCTTCTATATAAGTATTTGTGCTTCTATTTACTTTCTTTGGTATGAAGGTAATGGAAGGAGGTATGACGGCACTTTTTCCTGTTTCAATACAATTTTAATTCAGCTTAAGAAAGTCATCAAGGCCTGTTGCGTCCTGGAATATTCAAAATGGCAGAGAGAGATAAAGTTTAGCGTCCTAACGTTATACGAAAATCTAACACACAAACAGGTACAAGAGATGGGTGCATCAATCACAAGATATACTATAATTTTTACGTGAAAAAACCTTGAAAAAGGGAAAAAACCACGGGGTCTAGCCCTGTCAAAATGATTCTACTAGTTTTGGTGGTTAATTACAAATGATGTTCATCCTCGGAGGAGGGTGCTAGCTCAATGTAGCAAATATACATTGTATATAACACAATACATAGTTGGAGAATGGTACAACAACTGCTCTTAAAAGAATGTTGATATGTTCGTTTGATCAGAAGGATCATAGCCGGCGGACGATAGTGTCGGAGAGACAGTAGTCGGCGGACAATGGTATCGGAGATACAATAGTCGACGGGTGATGGCGCTCGGAAGGACCGTAGTCGGCGGGAGACCAAGGTCGGAAGGACCGTAGTCGTCGGGCGACGGTGATCAGAAAGACCATGGTCGGCAGGCGATAGTGGTCAGAAGGATTGTAGTCGGCGGGTGGCAGCGGGTGGAAGGACCGTAGTCGACAGGTGCCAATATCGGGAGGACCATAGTCGATGGGCGACCTAAAGACCGTAGTTGGCTGGTGGGGGTGGTCGGAAAGACCGTAGTTGGCGGGCAATGGTGGTCGGAAAGACCGTAGTCGGCGCGCAACCGAGGTCCGGAAGAAGTCCGGCATCGATCAGCAGCTGGGTAAAAGTCTGACGATAGTCGACCAAAGTTCGTTGGCGATGGTGTCGGGGTGGAGCATTAGCCTTAGAGCTCTTATTTTTTTCCCCTCCTTCCTCCTCCCTTTCATGAGAAAGAATGGGGTCTATTTATAATTTTTTGGGAAGGGCATGCTTTGAAAATATAGAGAAGATCAAGTGCATGTTGGGAGTGTTTAACTGAACGACTCATATTGATGCATTTGATCGTGGAGTGTTTATCAAGCATTTCAATGCCCAAATGATGTCAGAATCAAGCAATCTTGGGCTCGTTGAATTCGTCTCGTCCAGTCGCTCGATTCAATTATAAGCATGTTACATTTGGAAATCATTTGATCATCCAATTTATGATTTGAACCTTCCAAATGCGCTTCGGGCCTTTGATTTGAACCCATTTGGGCCCAGATAGGGTTGAATTTGGTGTCCTTGGGTTCATCTTCTCGAGACGTTCAGTTCGACTATAAGTTTGACTAAATCGAAGTTCAGACAACTCCATATTTAATTTTGGAAGTTCCTAATTTGAATATACTTCGAGATTCATGCCCGATCAAGATAATTATTTGGTGATATATTAAGGACAAAACATTCTGCTGGAAAAAATCTGAGCATTTTATTAAGTTTCTAGACTAATTTCTGGTTTTGTTTCTTTTTTAAATTTGTCTTGTTTCTGTGACTGCTTACAAGTGGCTACTCTTCGTTTGTTGGGGATATTTTTCTCCCGGTCAATGATGAGGAAGACTTCCTTTGTGCTTCCCGCGAAGGCCTTGGCTTTGCTTTGGCAACCTTGGTGGGCCGGTGGCTTCCTTGGATTCTGCATGTTTTGCTGGCTGATTTTTTGTAGAGGTTTCCTTTTCTTTTTCTGTTTGCTGCTTCCAATGGAAGGCACATAGCCTTGGCAACTAGGTGGCCCTCATTTCTTGATCGTAATTTTTGTAGGAAGTCTTTGTTGTTTCCTGAGTCTGGCGGGCTTTTCGCCCTTCTACTTTTATCTTTTATATTTCTTTGTTTCCTTTTTGTGGTTGTTTTGAAACCTTAGTCCTTCATAGGTGCTTAAAGTTATTTAATCTTTTTCTTTTGTTCCTGGTTTGGGACCCTTTTTGTATATCCCCTCTTTAGCAATGAAAATGGGCTTGTCCCAAAAATTTCCCCCCAAAAAAAATCTCCAAATATTGAATCCAAGCACCTAAATCTACGATGATCATATCATAGTTCATATTGAATCCTGGCCTTTCACCACTCTCACCTTCAAATTCATCCCAACATTATTCTCACCACACTATTAATCCTTTATAATTATTATTATTCATCAAGAATCATAATTTCTTTCATTTACTTGTTGAGTCATGATTTGACGATATTGGACAAGTATTGAACCTTGATGGGAGCCATTGGGTTGCTCATGTGCACGCATAATGGATAATCCACCTTTGCAATAAAGATGCCAAAGGGGCACGGGGGCTATATTCGAGAATGTGAGACTTCTTCACGAGGCCCTTAAGAAAGAAGGGTCCCACTCCTTTGACAATCTACCTTCAGACATACATGATCAGAAACTACGTTGATGTCAAGGTTAACTTTGACATCCGCAAGGCATGCCTTACAAGTTCTACCATGGAAAGATTGGAAGGGTGCAGAATGTTACAAAAAAAGGGATCGAAATTAGTAAGCACATAGGGAAAAAGATCAACATAAAGCAAATTTATGTGTGTTTAACAATGTCCTTATACATTGAAGAATTTCATTTGATGAAAAACAATGAGCCGAAAGCTGAGGCAAAGGCTAAAGGTGAAATCATTAGCACAAAGAGGCAACTTGAGGGATCAAACCTAGTTCATGGCAGAGGGTGCAACGTTGGAGACATACCAATTCCATATGATGTTGTCAACGAACTCAAGGTAGGTTGTTAATTCACAAATTTCACTATTTTAATATTTATAAATTTTCATTATTTCTTTTCTAAACACTAATGAGAACTGTTGAAGTTTAAAAACTTTGATATTGCAACTTTCGAACTAATAGTTGGAAATGTAATTACATAAAGTATAATGTTCAGGTATTCTTACCTTTATAATTATAATTATCCAAATTAATCTTTAGCCATTGAGAAAAAAAAAAGCAAGCTCGACAAAGAATTCTACCAGTAGTCCACATCCAAGCTGAAGGCAGCAGCAGTCCACACCAATTACCACGAGGATGAGAAGCAACAGATGTTGCATATGCAGCCTAACGTTGAGTTGAATAAAATAAAGCAATGTTCTAGAATAAATTAGGTAGTTCCTAAAATATTATCAATGCTATTCCACTAGAGCAGCATATAGATGAAGTGCACATTACGTATGACATAACTGGGATGAAGAACAATAAGCATGCCCAGAAGGGCAAGATAGATTCTTTTGTAGGCGATTAAAAAAAAAATTACTAAGTTCAATTATTTATAATTTTTGCAGAATGTTTCAATTCTTCTACATGTATTGGAAGGGATAACGTTTGGTTGATTGCTTGTGTTATGACATGTTCATTACAGTTTCTATTTCTTTTGAATACACACGTATATATCTTTAATAATGTTGAATCACAGTTGGATTATTCCTCAGTAATTGCTCTTTATCTTCAAGTAGTGTACTCTATCAGCTAATGTTAATTTGTATATTCATTTTAGAATTAAGGAAATAAAAATTATATATAGATAGATAGATAGATAGATAGATAGAGAAATATACACACACATCAAAATACTAATTAATTTTGCATTTTAAATATATTATTGCTTATTTAAATTCTGTTAATGGGCACTTGGTGCACATGCAATTAAACTAATAAATTAATAAGGAGATATAAAAAACACAAAAAAAATTACATGAAAAATAAAAAATTGCACAAAAAAATGCTAAATGCTATTGGAAGCAAGAACGTAGGAGATATTGATAAAAAATTATAGCCTTTGTAACATAAATAAATTCGGGAGTAAAAAACTGATGGTATGGGTGAAATAAAATCAAGGAGATAGTATCAATTATACCTTTCTGAAAGATCAATTTCATCCCAGATGCCAGTTTTAATCAATTGAGCCATGCCCTCTACCTAACTTGGCTTCCTCTTGCTAGTTCAAATTTTCAAGGAGGATAAGCTACAATGTCAACCTACATGGCATCAAACAAAAAGAATTATGAGTATCGTATAGTAATTGAAACAATTGGAAAGAAAACATTTCCAATACAATTTATTCATAACTTCAAGGACTTTTTTGACATCTCATTATTTAAAAAAAAAGAGGAAATACCGCACAACCTCCCCACATCTCTCATACCCGCAACCCATTATGAACCCCCGACACCCCACTCATCAACCCCACCTCTCCACTTTTGCGCACAAAACTCCCAAATCCTAGTTGCTCATTCTCATTTTCCTCTTCTATGTGTCGCAACAACCATATAACACCTCAAACTGAAACCCTCTTCATTCTCTCCTCCTCGCACCAAATAAAACCCCAGCTCTCTCCGCCCTAACCCTCTGTCGATCATCGAAGTCTCCTTTGCAATCTACTTTTCTCCATCTCTTCACACAATCCTCTCTCCACTCTCCTGCTCCCTGTCTCACATCGCACCCACCACCCACCCTAAGGCATGCTCCATCTCCCTCTAGACCTACTCCTTGCAACTGCAACACCAAGCAATCAACACCCCCAGATTGTCAACTAACACCTCAAGACTCGTCACACTTGCATTTTTTCCCTATCTCGCCAACCACACTCTCTCCCTCATCTCCTCAACAAAGAACTACCATCAAATCGTCCTTGTTGACCTCAATACTAGTGTCGAGGTCAGGTCGACAGCGCACGATGAATTTCGAAAGCAAAAGAGTGAGCTGTCGCATGTAACTCACTCGACACACGACAACCAAAAACTAAAATTGCCGAGATAGGCTCCATTCACGAAAAGGACAACCCATTGTATCCGGAGCCAACATAAACAGCTAAAATCGACACATATATTAATTAGGGTCGCCGATTGGCAAAAATTTAAATTTTACACACACGAGTCGAGGCGGAATTGACGCGCACGAACGACGATGACGATCTAACCGCAATGTCGAAGCACACAAAAAATAAATAAATAACCTACATCAAATTTTTAGAATAATTACCAATATTATTTAAAAAAAATGAGAAAATGTTTAAATTAAAAAATCCCTAAATTAATTTAAATTCTTGGTTAATGAACATGTAATTTTATATGCTTTGTATTATTTGAAGGTATTCAAGTAAATAATGGCTTCTAGAAGACCCTCAACGTGTCTCACCACAAAAAGATTTAGAAGTTTCAAATATGAGAAAGATATGCTTGAAACGATATTATCCAAATGAGGAGGAGAGAAGAAAAATTAATATAGAACTTGCAAAGTTCTTTGGATATTTAGAGAATTTTGGTGATCAAGAATCTTTGATTGATAGATGGAGGATGGATCCAAAAATGTGGTGGTTAATTCATGGAGCGTCGGCACCTCTTCTTCAAACAATAGCAATAAAACTTCTTAGTCAAGTATCATCCTCTTCCTGTTGTGAGATAAATTGGAGCACATACTCATTTATTCAATCAATGAAAAGGAATAAAATAACTCCACAACGAGCTGAAGATTTAGTTTATGTGCATACAAATATTCGTCTTCTATCAAGGAAAACCCCACTTTATATGACAGGTGATACAAGATGTGGGATGTTGCTAGAGATGGGTTCGAGTGCCTTGATGATATGGGATTATTGGAGGTTGCAAATCTTTCTTTAGATGAACCAGAGTTGGAGGCAATGATATCCAATTATGATGATATTGAAGGCCAAAGACCAACCACTGAATCTAATTCTATCATTCCCTCTATTGAGTAGTTGAGCTTTCATGTTGTACTAAATGGTTTTTTGGTTATATTTTTGTGGTTGTACTAGACATTTTATACTAAACATCTTTATGTTATAAGCTAAACAAGTTATCATGACTTTGATTTAACATTGCTTGCCATTTTTAATATAATATTACCTAAATTTCTATATATTATATTAAAAATTATTATGCCCTGTCCACGCCGCACCCGTGTCCTATATTTTTAAAAAATGTCGTGTCCCGTGTCCGTGTCGTGTCGTGTCCGTGTCCCCGTGTCCGTGTCCGTGCATCTTAGGTTATAAGCTATTTGAGCTTAACTCCATCCTCATAATGATATAAGCACAATGGTCTTCAATTATCTCTTAATACTCTTTCTCAATATTTCTTAGAACAAGCAAAAATTTGATATATGATATCAAAATAATTCTACATAGACAATGCTAAAAAAACACCTTGGATAAGTGCACAAGTTTTACACATGTCTAATATGAAATGCTCTATTATTATGGAGTATAGATGCATCATAGACTTTTGTGTCTATTTACTTACTCTAAGTTCTTCTTTATGCTTAACTATGATTATGAGTAAACACGAAAAGAATTCTGATAGAAGCTTCTCCTCCGACACCACGTCCAGTCATCAAACAATCCTTCATAGCCACATCGATAGTCATGAGAATTTCTCTTCCTATCCACTATTCATTATGCACAAGCTAAACGGGAAAAACCATCTCCAATAAGCTCAATCAAGAAAGGTCAATTATTCACCATTACGGCCATTCCTTCTAAAAAATAATAAATAAATACAAAGTTTAATTCAAGAAAACTTGACATTAACATGATTATATATCAGCTCAATGGCACTATGGAAAACAAATTGACCAAAATTTTATGTTCTCTAACACTGATACCTGGGATGCAACAAAAGAAAATTATTCAAAAATAAAAATAATGTCAAGTTGCTCGAAATCAAATATTCTCTCCACGATTTTGAACAAGATTATCTCTACTTTATTAAATATTACAAATACTCTCAACATGTATTAGCAACAATTAAATGTCTTCGGAAAACAAGATTTGGAGTGCTCAAAAGAGAAAACCAAGTATCAAAAAATAGTTAAGAAGAATGGGATAGCCAAATTCCTTCATTATCTAAATAAAAATTGTGATGAAGTTCGAGGAAGGATATTTTAGAACAAACGGTTTGAGAGCGCGCGGTAAATTCGAATAGATCGTAAATCCCGGATTTGTACGGCGTAAATCCGGGATTTACTAAATCCCGTCGTTCGGCAGACTTAAGGGATACGGGATTTACGGGTTTACGAGCGAATGCTTCTCGCGCGGCGGCCTTATTGAGGAGAAAGATGGTTACCTTCGCAGCGACCTAGCTCCCGTTGTGACTTCCAATCCGACGTCGTCGAGCGAGGCGGAGAAGCAACGAAGAAATGGCCGCGAGGAGAATAAACGAAACGCTACTTCACGCGAAGCGAAGCAGCAACGAAAAAATGGCCGCGGGAAGAAGCGCAGCAACGAATGGAGAAGTTGAAAAGCATACCCTAGATGGCTATCATGTAAATAATAAATTAATTTAATTTAGTTTAATTAATATAATATAAACATTAATAATAAAATATATAATTAATGACTTAATTAAAAAATTTATACTTTAAAAATACTT